ATTGTATTACCATTTTGTATAATCCGGATGTAGTCGTTTACGTGAAGTTGATTTTTGATTATATTTTTCGAGACACCTTTAGCTTTCTTTATTTCTGTTTCCTTCTTGAAGGGTTTGCCTAGTTTTACACAATATGCCTTAGCTCCTGTACCATAAAATGCATCAACTATAGTACCAGCAAACTCGTCTTTCATTTTTCCAACGATAGAATTTGTTATAGGCATCCCATATTCATTATTTTTGGAAAAATTGGAAGTATCAAAATGGGTGATGTTTTGTTTCATATCATCATAAAAGTTACTAGTAAATACTTCTAAAATTAGGGAATCGGTGTCCGTATAACACAATTTTGCAGCATTGCCATATTTAGGTTTAATGTAGCCATATAAAAATTCGTATATAATGGTTTTTGAAATATCCAATACAGAAAATCCTATATACATAGGTTTGTCATAATATACTTTTACATTACCCAAATGTACTGCAACCAAGTTTTCATTGAATACGGAACATGTCTTAAATTCTGGTTTTGCTATTAGTGTCCTCGCACCTACGGACCCCTTTGTATTTTCCCAATGGGTAGAAAGATGAATAGATTTTCTCTTCTCAACATTTTCCATGGTCTTTCCGAAGATTGCATTGACCAGCAGCTTAAAAAGATCTTTTTCGAAGTCATTCTTTGCTTGGTTTCGGAGGGTGGTATTCAATTCGATATATTTTTTCAGCCACGACGATTGGGAAAATTCTAAAATTCTATGAATTTTGGTTAATTTTAATCCATATTTGAGACATTGTTTCAAGTTCCGGTAGTGAATAATATATTTTTCTTTATGGCGTAAGTTTGGAATCAACTTTGGGTGTTTACCATTTGGTGGTATTATACTTTCAGGGCAGAAAGGTAGGTCGTTGTGGGCATCGTGCAAATTAATTGGATATTCTAAATCCACTTCTAAAACATATCCTTTGGAGGCATCGTCTTTAACCGAATTACAATCGAAATTTTCCACTGGTATCCATTTAAATCCGCCAAATGGAAGGGACTCGCTCATTGCTGCGCCGTATAAATTGGTAGCATCGAGATACATGATATAACTTTCTGGTTTTGAGGGATTATAATTTGGTAGAAATTTATTATTAGCCATCGCTTGCCTCTTACTGCACTGTGCTACTCCTCCTCTGATCCCTTTTTTAAAAAAGTGTAGCATGTCAATATCTGTCAGTAACTCAAGTTCTATTTGGGTATATTTTAGCATTGCATCCCAACTTAGGGAGGGTGCGGTCAAGTAATGAGCAGGATCAAGTTTATATTCTTTCAAACACACTTTTCTAAAGTTTTCGAACACATCTGCTAACAGAAGCACGTCAGTCTTTAAATATAGCATTGCGTAATCGTTGAGTGTTTTACATTTAAAAGTATTCCATACTTCTTTGGCTCTATTATAATCTTCATCGGTGATTGGCTCGCCTTTCAAATTATCAAAAAATTTAGCTTTAGATGGTAGTTCCTCATCATCCAATTTTTGAAAAGAATCAACGTATGAATAAGGAAACACGCCCTTACGTCTCATTAAATTGAATTGTGTTTCGTTGGGGAAATATTTTCTAACTTCATCTAAAGAATCCAAAGTTTCACTGAGTTTATCAAGAGATCTTGCCAAAAATCTAAAAGAGTCTACAAATCTCAGTTTTATAAATGAATCACGAACTTTGGGACCATCAGATTTTTCAACCAAAATAGATTTGGAAAAAGAAATATATTTCTCCTTTGTTTGAGCTATTGCGGAGACAGATTCACCTTTGGTAGTCAATTCTTTAATAAACAAATGGCTGTCATAGTTTGTGAGATTATGAAAAAACACCGGTATAAAATTTGGCACCTTATAATTCAAATTGCAGGAGTTATGGGCGGCATTCCTATATTTTCCCAGTAGATGGCAATGGTCCCGAACTTTTTTGTTGAATACATCAAAAGGTTTTTCACATATGTAACAGTTGGTCGCGTTATCATATGCTTCCTGTTCTTTGGGGGTAAGTGGTTGCATGACTTTTACATGCTTTAAATGGTTGTTGTATAGGTTATGTACAGTCTCATCTAGTTTTTGCATAAACACTTTGCCCGCATTTAGTCCTTTATACATCTCAAGCTTAGATAAACTGTCATCGTAACTACATTTCAGGTAAAATGCAAAAGAATATGGCTCGTGCTCACATACTTTGACACTGAATGATTTGCCATTAATAGGTTCACAATTGTCTATTGGTTTTAACAACGATTCAAAGTCTGCATAAATAACAAACGGCACTTGTAATTGTTTTTCAAAGTTAATAAATTTTAAAATATTTTCCGGGGTGATTTGTCCGCACTTATTTTTTTTCATTTCATTTGTTGGTAGTTGTGTGTATATATGTGTACAATCGTGTTCTTCATGTGCTTTTAACTTCTCCATATTTACAAAAGATTGTAAGCAGCCATCACAAATATAAATTTTTCCCTTATGGTTTGTTTTCTGACTTCTAACAAGTCGTGGCAAGTCTGTAATAAGGTTATAATGATTGTTTCCATCACTATCTGATACTAGCAACAGATTCACGTGTGTAGGTTGTCGGTTGGAAGTGAAATGTAATGGACCAACAACTTCATAATTGTTTTTACCGTCTCGGAAAAATGATTCAAGTCCAAACACATTCACTGATATATTATTCATAAACTCGAATTTTTTAATGTCTTTTAATTTTACGGGGAAGTCGATACCTCTAAAGTCTAACATTTTATCATAATGTGGGTATGATGATGGATACTTGGGATTCCCCTCGGCAGGAAAAATTGCTGCATTAATGGACCAAGCGAAACAAGCGCTATCTTTGTTTTCAATATTCAAGACAGCATTTCTTTTCATTATTGTCACAGGTAGCTTGATATATGAAGAAGCTGCAATACTATTGAAACGGTTTATGTTCACATCCAAAAACATTATCTCCTGTAAACTCCAATTAGAATCTTTTTCTTGGAATTCGGAAGCTTGCATCATAAGTTCGGATTTAAATTCACCATATACTTCTTCTAGATTAGACGCTGTGGTAACAATTTTGTTTGGAGAATTCATGGATTTGATATCACTCATTTCCTTATCAGGTTTAACATATATCCCAAATATTTCCATATTTATTTTTAAACTTGTGTGTTGTTGCAAATATTCACTGATTTTATTTATAACTTTTGGTTTGACTCCATTAAAAAAGTCATTGTAACTGATTTTATTTTCATCACTGCTGGAAAATCTGTATGAAGCAATCCTATTCTTGAAAGCATGAGTTAGTTTAGTAACACCACCTTCCAGTACTTCAATGCCTATTGGTCTTAGTCTCTTTTTCGGAATCGGACAAGCCGGTTTACGATCCACACAATATGCGAGCTGGTGTCGCTTCAGATTATATGCGTTGGAAAATAATTTATTACACTTCTTACACTGCATGTTGTTAACTCGCCGTAAACTACGAAACTAGAAAACGCAATGAATGCGGAGTTCCTTAAATAGAAAGAGGTCACGTGACTGTCAGATAGTGGGATTGAATGAAGACAGCGAGAGTAGGATATCATTATTATAATTTACATGCTACGTATGGACACCAGATGTTGTCATGTGTTCGCCAGATGGCCGGGTGCAGGTGTTCGCGTGAGAACCGGATGTCTTTATCTTTCCCAGAGATATTAAATTACATGCCAGATGGTCAACATGTGTTTGCCAGTATATCGTTATCATTATAATTTACATGCCACGTATGGACACCAGATGTTGCCATGTGTTCGCCAGATGGTTTCCTCATTTTGCCTTCTCATAGGGTTTCCTCATTTTGCCTTCCCATAGGGTTTCCTCATTTTGCCTTCTCATTTCCACTCTACTAAAATTGTATTTGTCAGTATAGGCAGAAATAGTCCTTTAATACCAAAACAATTTGGCGCTGCTGTCGCGCACGGAGCGAATACATTTCGAGCATATATACCCTTGTCCACTTCATACATATGGGTGAGAAATGTATATATAACTATATACATCATTAGTGTTATTATGTGATCTGAATTACCGACTGTAGGCGTTCCTCTGGTACAGAAGCGCCATCTTAATTTTATACAGTTTGAGGGACAGTTTTGTATTCAGAGATAGTTCTTACCTCTACACTCCATATACAGGGTGTCCCGAAATTATACGGTCATGTTTTAACAGCGTAATCTACATCCTAAAATAGGAGTAAAAGTTTATATAAACATAGGTCCGAAAACGTTTTGTTTCCGAAATCATCTTCATAGGTGGGTCAATTAGGGGAAGGGCTTAGGGTTAAATTGTCCTAAGTTTTTTTGTTGGCTGTTTTTAACATTTTTTACTACAAAATTTGGAAAACCAATATTTTCTTTATAATAAAGCTACTTTTGTTGTATCTCGCTAGGACGCACCATTTTCAAGAGAAAAGCATTTGAAAATTTCATGATAAGTTGATGTTATCTTATTCGAAAGTGTAAACAATAATTAGTAGGCGAAGGCAGAAGGACCTCAGTCAATAGCCTATTGGAATGAATTATCAGTTCAATAAATGGCAATTATTATTATTTAATTAGTAGGCCTCTGGAATCAGAAATTTTATTTTTTTTTAAGATTGGAAAACTGGTGACTAAAGAAATTTTAGAAAATATTTACAAAAATGTGCCATCAGGACTTCACTTGTAACACCCTGTATCTCAAAAACGAAACGTTTTCGGACCTGTTTATATGAACTTCTACTTCTCTTTTAGGATGTAGATTACGCTGTTAAAATATGACCGTCCGATTTCGGGACACCATGTATATACAATATAGTGAACAAAGCAACACAAAAAAAATATTTTTTCAATATTTCTAGAATAAAAAGGGCAATTGTTAAAATAATACAAATTTTGGGGATGCGCATTTTCCGTCCTAGCCCATATTTTTGTTTTCATTCATATTACTAACTTTGAATTCTTTTAGGCGACATTTTATTAACATATAGTACTGATATTGGTTGGTCTCCCTATTTTCCAATGTTGAGTGGAATAGCTACAGAACTTGGAGGCTTAGTATCACATGGTAATACCTTCGGTTTAAACAATTTAAAAAATATATACATGTTTATTTTTTTAGGTGCAGTAGTAGCTAGAGAATATGGTTTGCCATGTGTCGTAGGAGTGCGAAATATTACTAAATATTTTAAAACTGGCGATATCATACAGTTGAACGGGAATAATGGAGAAATTGGTAAAATTTAATAAAAATGTGATTGCTAAAATAGTTTTTTATTTCTATGGGCATCTCTTTGTACAAATTGTATATGCACTGAAATTATTTAGCAAAATTTATCGTTTTATACTTTAATATATTATAATAATTAACAAGATATCATTTTTTAGTAGATAACACAAAAACGATTCTTGATATTTGGGATATGTTCATACCACTTTATTGCCTCCCTCTATGGGCAACTTTTATTCCATTTAATTTAATACTAAACCATTCTCAAGATTCCAATGTTCTGTGTTATTGTTTATGTATAATTTTCGAAAGATGATAATTTCCTGACTGTAGTAGCATTTTTCACAAATAAATAAAAGTATGATCAGTCACGTTTTTTCAGTCAAATTTTTACTTACGTTTTGGAAAATCTTTTCGTTTTGTGATTTGGTTAACAAAAAATAAGGGCATTTCTTAAAATATGTATATTTATAAAATTACATATTTGCAGGCATATACACCTTCTCCAATACTAAAAAAGAACTTAATTCTCATAAATATAATTAGCAAAACATTTTACTACACAAGTAATCTAAACTATTAAACTTTAGTTTCAACTCGTACCTTTCTGCTTCTTTGCTAACCTCAAAACGTGAAGTATGACTTCATCAACAGTCTGGTTGTTTAACAATTCTTTTACAGCTTCATCATCAATTACGACAGTGAACAAAAGCTTTGCGTTTTCTCTTATTCTTCCAATGTAGTCAAAGTCATCTTCGGAAGCCGGTTTGTGTCCACATCTCTTGATTACGCTATCCAGTACCTTTTAAAAAAGTGTTTGGAAAAATATATTAAGATCTAAACAATTTTAGGTCTTACCTACTTTTAAAATATTTATGTTTAAATTAATATTCAAAATGGTATGCTGTTCATTATTATCCATTCTTTTTAATATTAATATTGTCCAGAAATTCTCTTAAAAAATGAAATTGTCGAATTCTATAGACGATTTTATGATGAATTGAGCAATAAAAATAACAAAGTTGTTTCATTATTCGAATATTTATTCTTACAGGGTCAACTAAAATTATGTACTTAGGTAAGTAGAATGAAATTGGAATAAATGTTCATTCATTGAACTAAATCAACTGTAAGAGTGCAAAAAAAGAAAAAGTGGCATTAGTACAAAGTATATCTGGCCAAGAATTGTTAAAATAGAATTTTGATAGAAGAATCGATGTAACAGGTACTTTTTTCAGATGATGATACTTTTCTGCTCAAAGACCAGATGTATTGATACTGGGAATCGCTCTTAAGAAAACTGAATAAGATAATCAACAAAAAACAACTTATCCCCTCCTATAAATTCGGATTTAGTGACAAACATTCTACAATTGATTAGATCCATCCTATAATAAATGAAATAAATATCTATAAGTAAAAATTGATATAGAGTAGTTCTTGATATCTGGAAAGGCTTCGATAAAGTATGGAATCAAGGTTTAAAATAAAGAAATGTTTCCCCATACTCTGAAGTCAAGTCGACATAAGCTTATACTACTCAGAGAAGTGTCCTTGGGTCAGTATTAAATTTTTTATACACCTATGACATTCCAGAAAGGAAAATTAGCCACATTTACTGATACTACAGCTGTCTTAACCATACGATCAGCTATAAAAGAACCAACCATTAATGTTTAAAACGGAATAAGAAAACAGCAAAATATAAGGGTCTAAATCTGGCCGCTAAACTAAAATGGAAGGAACAAGTATAAATTGAATAGCTAAAGATTAGATATAAATATGTATTGATTGATAGAAAGTCACTCTCCACTTTCCTCTTAGAACGAAGTCCTCGTTTATAATTTCTAAAGCCTTGCAATTATGAGGGTGTACCAGAATAATTTATTACAATTACCTAATAATAGTTCAAAACGGAATGCTCCTTAGAATATTCAGAACAAAGAGCTGCACTGAAACCTCAAAGTTGAATCCATCCCAGAAAAAATTAACAAAATGTCCAAGAGACATGAGGAGATGCCCCACAAACATACCAACATTGAAGTCTTCCATTTTCCAACCTTTAATACTCTAAGTGTGTAGAATAAGTATTGAATACAAGTGAATTTACAAAAATGATTAATCTTGAAAGATTAGATGCATTCTGACAAAAAAAATATGTACCATATACCAATGAAAAAAGCACATACCACATAATCAAATTTTACCTTATCAACTGGCGCATCTGGATATCCAAACTCCAAAAGACACTCTTCATCGACCAGAAGCGTAAGTAGTTCCTTAATGGACTCGGTTAATGTCAGTTCGTTCCAAATAATATTCTCGGTTAAATTTTCGTTGGCAGATTCGGTAGCGGCAGTCAACAATTGTTGCTGGAGACGTTTCTTCTCGGCGTTAGCCAGAATATCTTCTAGAACGTCTCGATGTCTGGCTCTAATGTGTCTCATCAGACAATCGCGGCGTATGAAGGCCCGACCGCAAGTTTCGCAGCTGCACGGCGGTTCCTTGCGATGGATGTTCATGTGCATTTTAAGGGACGACCTCACCGCAAATGATTTGTGGCATATTTCGCAAATATAAGCTAAAAATAAAAAGTTCTATGCAGGTTGTTTTTAAAATACATGTAGATATTAGAATGTACAAAAAAATATTTTGAGAAAACACCAATAATTGAAATTTGGATATAAAACCATAATCTGCCCAAGCTATCCGTATTCCTCATATTTATTTATTACAATGCTCTACAGGCAATCCCAATTACAGAGCAGAAATAAAAGAACACATACATTATGTAGACTAAGTGGTACAAAATATACAAAAATTTGTAAACAGCTAGTAGGTAAAATACAATACAATTCAATTTTTTTCTTAAGTTAGGAAATGACATTTTATTTCCCTAAGTTTGCATGAGAAGATGTCAATGTCACTACTTACACTATTCACAACACGACTAATAGTATGAAATGGAGAATTTTTCAGAACATTTGTGCGAGGTACAGATATGTGAAATATGTCAGAATTTCTAGAGGATACTCTCGGAATACAGATATCAATTTTTCTCAACAATTCCGGACAATTTTGAAACCTAACACATAACAATGGTATTCACGTCTTTTTATGAGGCTTAAAAAGTGATATCTTTGAAGAAGATTTTCGTGTGGTACTCCGATTGGCGGATAAACACCATCCTCCTTTAAACACAGTAACTTTAGAAACCATCTTTGAACTGCTTCAATTCGATCCGTGTAAAGTTGGTAAAATGGACTCCAGACGAATACTCAAGCTTTGATCTTATAAGAGAGTAATACAACGTTTTTAATGTGGCTACATCTTTGAAATACCTGGTACAGCGAGTTATAAAACCATACATACGATGTTTCAATCATTTTATCTATGTGACATATAAAGGTCAATCCGGGATCAAAAATTACCCCAAGATCTGTAAAAGTATCTAGTCGCTGAAGTGAGACATTATCTATTAAATAATTATATTTTATTTGGTCGGTTTTTAAAGTAAAAGACATAACTTTACATTTAATTGGGATAAGTTCAAGTTTATTATTATTACACCATTCAACCACTAGATTTAAGTTCATGTGAAGTTGTTCACAGTCGCCAATACTTGTCACCCGCTTGTGTAATTTTAAATCATCTGCATACAGTAAAAACTGCTCTTTAATTACACTCGAAATATCATTGATGAAAATATTAAATAGTAACGGGCCCAGAATGGAACCCTGAGGAACTCCAGATGCTGTTGCAAATTTGACAGACTTAAACCCATTAAGCTGTACAAACTGAGTACGATTTACTAAATAACACTGAAAGAGATTTATCAAAGGGGGGGACAACCCAAACCCTGTAAGTTTTCCAAGAAGAATACCGTGGTCAAGTCTGTCAAATGCTTTTGAGAAATCTGTGTAGATGACATCAGTCTGGGCGCGCTCATCAATAGATTCAACAATGTATTGTGTGACGGTAACCAGGTTGGTGACTGTTGAGCGACCTTTCATAAACCCATGTTGATTGACTGATAGCATTTAACTAACATAATGATATAAGGTTTTCTTCAATAAAATTTCAAATAGTTTGGAGAAATTGCATATTATGGATATTGGTCTGTAATTGGTTATATCTCTTTTATCCCCCTTTTTGAAAGCTGGAAATACTTTTGAGGTCTTCCAAATATCTGGAACTGTTGATGTCCTGAGGCATATATTTATGAGAGTGGCTAACGGGGGAGTAAGTTGAAGGGCACAATCCTTTAAAATAAAAGCTGGAATATGGTCTGGACCAGTTGCCTTTTTAGGTTTAATAGACTTTAGAGCTTCATATACCTCTTTTTCGGTAAAACTATTGACATTAAGGAACGGAACATTGAGTCGTGAATTTGAATTAGCAATAAACGGGCTAGAGGTAATATATGACTGAAGAAGTCAGCAAATCCATTGAGAATATTTAATGGAGTTTTTAGTGATTTGTTGTCATAAGACATTATTTGAGGGGATTTGGATTGTGATTTCTTACTATTTGATTGCTAAATTGTGACAAATAACTTATCTTCAAATTTTTTATACACCTGGGAATATGCTGTACATTTTTCTTTTTCCCAAACCGCATGATTAATGTCAACATTCTTGTTGGTTAGTTTCGCACAATTGGAGCATTTTTTGACGCTAGACTTACAGTCCTTCAATTCATGTGCTTCTCCACATAAAGGACAGAAAACAGCCTTACTGCAATTACGCGAGGAATGAGAAAATTCATTGCATTTATAACAGCGGAATAATTCAACAGCATCATATACGAGGTAAGCGCCAATAATTCCCGGCCTGACATAGTTGCAGATATTTTATCAGGATAAAAGTTTAACATTTTATACCTACAAACCTTAGTAGGCTGTGGTAACAAAATAAGCCACTTACGTCAAATAGTTTTTAATTGTCAGAATTTTGAACTAAAGTATCTCCGAAAATGTCTCAGGTGACGAAAATTGAGTACAGAGCGGTTATTACATTTTTAACAAAAGAAGGGCTTACACTTGAAATTATTAAAGAAAGACTCGATGGCGTATATGGCCAAAGTTCCCCTTCCTATTCGGTAGTGAAGGAATGGGCAAAACGTTTTTGCATGGGTCAGGAATCCCTTGAAGATGACGAAAGACCTGGACGGCCAGTGGAGGTGATAACGGAGGACAAAGTGGCCCTTGTGGAAAACCTGGTGCTAAGTGACCGACGTTTGAAGGTCAAGGAAATGGCAGAAATGACCAAGCTTTCTGATACCACTGTTCGCCGAATCCTCCATGATCATTTGGGTATGCATAAGGTTAGTGCAAGATGGGTGCCCAAACACCTTTCGGCGATTCAGAAGAAACGTCGTGTCGAGTGTGCTCGATCGTTTTTGGAACTGTGTGGAGATGATCCGAACCCCATGTTGGAAACAATAGTCACTGGAGATGAAACTATGGTTCTTTATTATGATCCTCTGTCGAAAAGGGAATCAATGGAGTGGCGCAGTAAGGGTGAAGCCCCCCCACGAAAATTTAGAGTCTGCCAATCAACGAAAAAGGTGATGGCTACAATCTTTTGGGATTGTGAAGGAATCCTTCTGATTGATTTTAAAGAGACAAATACCACCGTTAATGGCATATATTATGCCGCATTACTTCATAAGTTGCGGGAATGTATTCGGGAAAAACGTCGAGGAAAATTAACAAGAGGCGTGCGGTTGTTGCACGACAATGCGCCCGTTCATAATGCTGGCGTTACACAAGATGCCATCCTAGATTGCGGGTTTCAAAATATAGATCACCCTCCTTATAGTCCAGATATGGCTCCCAGCGATTATTATTTGTTTAGTTATTTGAAAAAGGACCTTCGCGGGCGACGTTTTCGGGACAATTTTGAGTTACAAGAAGCTGTTTTGGCCCATTTTGAGGATAAAGCGAAAGAATATTTTTTTAAAGGGATTGAATTGTTAATTAAACGTTGTAAGAAGTGCATCGAGGTTAAGGGAGATTACATTGAAAAATAATAAAAACTTGTTGTTGTACTTTGCCTCCTTCATTGTCAGGCTGGGAATTATTGGCGCTTATCTCGTACTACGCAACCATCATAACCGACAAATAGGTTTCCTGAATTCAATGCACGCTCATATACCGCCTTAGTAACTTGTATGACTGACTGCCAAATGTTAGGTTGCTTTTTTGTTGGATAGATTTTTAATATTTTTAAATATGAGTCGCCCGAGAATATTCTAGAATTACCATTTAGAATGTGATTACGCAGATCTGACTCTGAAAAATTCCCCGTCATACCCACTACTCGTAACCTAGGAAAAATCCAGATACCTCTTCTACATCATAGAAGTCCGCCAGTTTATCACACATCATTCGTTTCAGCTTCTCATTGTCAGAACTATTTTGACATCCAATTAATAGCCCTCCATCTTTAACTGATTTTACTTTAGAAAGCTGAAGATTCTCTGAAGTTGGATTAAAAGTACGCACTATGTCAGATTTGGTTTGAGTAACTGACTGTTTGTTGTCTTTTGGCCGAATAATTAAAGCAGGTTGCGACTTATCTTTTAATACTTCAGCATATTTGAGGGGTTGTTGGAATGACGACGAGGAAGAGACATTCGAAATGTCAGACTTTATAGATAAAACTTCATCCTTTAGTAATCTGACTGCACCGCTAATTTTTTCTTCCACTAAATCCTGTAATCCTCGAGGATCGAGAACCATACAGAATTTCACGCATTTTGGGCATTTCCACGATAGCCCCGGTATAGTTTGTAGGAGTTCGATTAGGTTTTCTGTTTTTGTAATACAGATAACGTGGTATTCGTTTTTACATCCTTCACATAAAACAGCCGGTCTTGTTCTGCTAACAGCCGATAAACACGAGGCATAATTCACCATTATGAAAAAATCATAATTTAATCACTCAAGAAATTTCAACAAAAATTATCACAAATATCGGCTGCACCTTCAACAATCAAATTGCAAAAATTTCACAAATTTTAAATTACGGGTGACACGCGAAAAACGCATAAAACGGGACCCGAAGTTCACCGTGCCACTTATACTACTACTACTACTACTACTACTACTACCTATTACTGGTACTAGCCAATACTACCGGCTTTTAACAACCTTTTATACTCACTCAGCCAAACTATTTGACATACCCTCTCAAAACTACACAACTTCTACAGTCTCATGAGAATTAGCCCCTCACAACGCGGCTCAGTTCATTATTATTATTATGTAATCGATTTATATTATTTCTTAGTCCCCATTTATAAGTATATATTAGATACCACATCCCTCTTCTAACCAGTTTGTTAAGTTAAATTTGATTATTATATAGTGTAACAACTTTATTCATTATGTAACTCCCTCAATTTTGTTATTTTCCTATAATGTAGTAAATTTTTATATTTTATGTCTGATGATGGCCACGATGGCCGAAACTAGTCGCACATAGACCGTTGATAAAATGAAAAAATGAGGTACAGGTTTAGTGTTTTATTATTCATATTGGGCGAACTTTATAAGTTAATCACTGATGAAATTTTCTAGTTTCAAAGTTTATAGATTTGCTGATTAAAGAAAAATAAATTAAGAACAATATGTCGAGCATCTTTTTTTACTAAATCAACTAAAAGTATCAGTTTTATAGTGTCCACTAATTAATCGGAAGTACCAAATAATTTACACTAAGTAGTGCAAAATTAGATAAATATTTATAAAAGTGAATATTAAATTACGTTTTTTACTAAATCTAGTGGATTTTAAACCTTTTAGGACATTGGCATCAAAGTGAAAGTCAAGGAGGGATACTTATTTATTTATCGGGACAATATAGTAAATGTTCAAATTAGTATAAAATAAAGGGAAATAATTCCTGTCCTCACATGTAATTTGTTAAATAATTGAATAGCTTCTTATAGTTAAAATAATGTGAATAATTTTCATTCATTGCCCAACCGAGCAATTGGTACGATTAACACAAGTAACAAAACAAATATGCTGGTTTAACCTTTGTTAAGATTAAAGGAAATGAATCAAGCATATGAAGTAAAACCAAAGTTATAATAATTATAGTTTGTTTATTCCATGTTTATTTCTCATTAAACCAAACAACTCAATGGCGATATAACATTTTTAACCTTTTAATATTGAAGCCCCCTTTAATTAATTATGAAATTGGCTCTAATAAGAGACTAATTACTTACGTCTTTCACCAGTGTGGGACAACATGTGTCTAGCAACGTCCTCCTTCCTGAAGAAAGTTTTATTACACTTAGGACACGGTAGAGGGTCCGCTCCTTCGTGCATAAACTTGATGTGATTGGTAAGCCGAAGTTTTCGATTGAATGCTCGTCCGCAATACTGACAAGTAAAGGCATTTTCGCCGGTGTGGTGAAAGATGTGAGCGCGTAGCTGTGACGGTTGAATGAAGGCTTTACCACAGAATTTGCATTGGTGCGGTTTCTCGCCAGTGTGAATACGGTAATGGCGGTTGAGGGTTTCTTTTGCGGCAAAAGTTCTGTCGCACTATTGATAAAAGAATATTTATACATGAAAATAAAATACTTAAGTACAACTAGTCCAGAAATAAGTGTCCAAAATTCTAATTACCTATGTAAATTTTACAAGTTTGTTTAAGTATTAACTTTTATTACCTTTAAATCCCGTTAAATAAATCAAAATAATTAAACAAGCGAACCTAGCCAGGTGTTTTTTAATGAGAGTTTAAACACCTATAATCACCGTCATCCACTGTATATGGAAAATTTCCCAAATCGTCAAATAATGCGCTTATTTGTTCCAACTGTTCAAGGAATTCGGGATCACAGATTTTTTCTGTCGCACCATATTGCGAACTTTGAACCATATTGAAGGTGCCGTTTTGGAAAGCGTCGCAAATTATTCTGTGACTGGATGACATTTTTTAACGGCTGGTATTATTTTATTTATTTATTCAACAACATACGGGAACTCTACATTACAATAAAAAATATACAAAAACCATTCAAACGATAATACATTAATTTGCAACTTTCAGAAAAAAAAACGCCAACACTTAAGTCTATTAATTATTATTTTTTTTTAATGTATAAAAATTTATTTATTTACGCGCAAGCCCATTTCTATTACAAATTACAATTTTAAAAATTAATTAAAATATCACAAATATTTATGCTGCTGCAGCACAAACAAAGATATTATACATGTCATACAGACTAAAAACATTTAAAATAACAAAATAGGTTAAAAAAGAAAATATAGAGTAACATATTTGTATTAAAGCTTAGTATTAAGTAATTGAGTTTTGAATGACGAAAAGGGAATACTGAACAGCCTGAGATTATTGTGCAAGTTAGCTAATTTAAGCATTCTCGGAATGCAGTTGTTAAAAGCCTGGTTTGATCTTTAAAAATGTACATAAAATGTTTGCAGTTGCTTAGTTAAACGAATTTGAACAAGAAGATATATATTTTTAAGAAGTTCAGGACAATTACATCTAGTATTTATAATATTAAATAGCAAAGTAAGGTCTCTCTGTTTTCGCCTAGTTTCCAAGGAGGGGATGTTCAGAAACTGTTCCATGAAATCATATTCACAATAAACACCCAATTTAAAAGCTATATGTCTGACAAAGTTGTGGTGAACAATGTCTATTTTCCTACTATATGTTATATAGTGTGGAGGCTAAACGGAAGAGCAATAGTCAAGGTGGGGTCTCACTAGTGAACAATAAAAAAACTTTTTTTTGTGTGTGTGTCATCGGCTTCAACTGTGCTAAGGTTATTTCACCTCGTGTTCTGTGTAGGCTTGTAACTGTTTCCCAGCGCCACTTTAGGAACAGCACTGTTAATTAGAACCCAACAGTGAATGGTCGGGTAGGGAATCCTACCAAGGCATCAGAATTAATTTTAAATAATGAAATTAAATGAAAAAATTTCGGCCAACGGTGAGATTCGAACCTGGGACTCTTGGATCCGCAGACAGATACTCTACCACTGAGCCACCCACCCCTTAATAAAGAACTTTAATTGTAGATATGTTAGTTTTGATAAAACCCAATATTTTCATGGATTTGTGGACAGTAGCAGATATGTGTTGATTACCCATATGCACACATTATTTCAGAAGTTTCAGAAATATTTCACACGTTTCAGACAAGCACAAGTTTCTGAAATATTTTAGTTAAATATTTCACTGAAAATGTTTGTGAAACATGGTATAAATGTTACACAAAAGGTTACTAAACACTTAATGAAGAATTTCTGATTTGCAAGAAGAAGTTGGGTTATGTAGTTATTTTATTTCATCCTTATGTCCAAACAGAGACAACTCTATTCTAAATAATTGTTGTCAGTTTTGCCATTTGCTTATTATGTTATTTATGCGTTGTGCTGTTGTTATATAGGAAGCAGAATATGCCTTTAGAAATTGAGGTAAGTTTACTACAGAAATAATTGATATAAGTTAAATTAGGTTTATTTACTTTAAGTCACTGAGATGAGTGCCGCCATTTCGTTTCTCAAATTTACAGGCAGTTTTAGTCTCATAACCTACATTTGCTGTCCCTCCACCTAGTTATATTTAATAAGTTCTGCAGCTCTGATTGAAAAGGGGAGATTCATGTTTTGTTTAGGCATGAGTATTGTTTGTTTTATTATAACAATATTATTAAATCTATTGTTAATCAAATAATTTGTATCCTATAAGTACCTATAATTTGTTTCAGATTAGTGCATTTTAAAGAATTGGTGGAAATGAAGCGATTCGCCTTCATATTTTAAGAAATAATGTTTAAAAATTATTTATTTGTTTAAGAATCAATGTTTCCGTTTTGTGTATTTTAAATATACATGTACATTTTTAAATATCTTTTTTTTTAGTCTAATAAAATTTTAGAAAGGTTTCTACAAAGTATCATAAAATTAAAAAAAAAAAAAAATAGAATACATTTCTGAAATATTACTATGTAATATTTCGGAAAGATTTCAAATTTTTATTTCAGGAATATTATTGTGAAGTATTATATTTACAGAACATTTTTACGTTTCAGGCACATTTCAGAAATGTTTCTGGGACGTTTCGTAATATTTATACAATATTAAAAATATTTCAATGTAACATTTTTTAAATATTTCCGAAATGTGTGTGCTGTATGGGTAAAGTTTAAGATAGGATCAAGAATAATCCCAAAGTCTTTAATTTGATAAAGAGAAGATATGCCTATTTAAGTTGTAGTTAAATGTAGTTGGAGTTAGGTGGAAACGTTAAAAACGCATGATATTGCATTTATTCCATTCAAGTCCATGTCATTTAAAGAACGCCATTCTGATAAATTATCAAAGTCAGACTGAAGTATACGGGCATCATCATGGGTTTTTAACAAATTGGAAACTTTTTAGGTCAGCTGCAAATAATAAAGCTTTGCTGTTACGAAAGCAATAAATTATATCACTAATAAATAAGTTAAATAGTAAGGTTATCAAAAAAATATTTGACAGAAGTTATTTTTAAAGAGTTTGACACGTTAAAATTTTGGCATTTATTTCTGGGACAAACTTAATAGTAATTAGGTACTAGATATACACAGATGAATTGTACATTGAGACTTAAGTATTGTATAAAGCAAATTTTTATCAAATTTAGTTGTTACCTGTTCACAACGATACGGTTTTTCCCCAGTGTGCATTCTTCGGTGTTTCTTCATTGCGCCAGTAGAAGGAAATCGTTTAGGACATAAATCACATTGATAAGGCTTATCACCTATAGTAACAAAATGTCATAATTAATATAAGGTATTATATAAGAATTCAGATAATATATGCACTACTTCAAATCAAATTTAAATTCGACTTGGGTCTTCATGAGTAGGAGAAATATTTTAATTTTTAATTAATATTAGATATATTCAAGAGAGAACGGATACCCTACAATTTTGTTCAAACGAATGGCACTTCATTGAAAAGGTAATCTAATAGGAAATTCAGCAATATGATTGTTAATTGCGTTACTTTTGATTTTAGCGCCCTCTGACGGGGTATAAATTGTTTTGTATTGTAAAATGTGACATTTCATTTGAACGACAATTTTATTAGTAAGTCAATGCAAAACAATATTGTGTTAACTAAAAAAATTGCATTGTTACACCTCTTTGTTGCAAATGCAATACGGAAATATTTAAGTTAATGTTATGTGGGGCATTGGATTACTAATAAAATTGGCTTTTGAATTAAGTGTCACACGTCACACTTTACAAAACGTAAGTTTTTATCCTGCTAGAGGTCGCGAAAATAAAAAGTTATTTAGCATGAAAAATTACTTTTCAAAAAGTGCCTTACGACACCTATTTAAAAAATAAATTGAGAGTGGTCACTGAATACCAAAACTTTGATACCGTCATACTGCTAATGGGCCTAGTGAGGCCTAAGTGCCGTGGGGTAACCCACCCTCCACATGTTACAGATACTGTCATTCTGCGATGAGTTTAAAAATCCACGTGTTCGAGCGTTTTCCACTACTCTTTACAATCAAAGAGTTGATAAGGGCTATTAAAAGCTTTCCAATACCCTTGGCATAAGTGTGTATGAAAACAACAAAGAGTTACCATTAGAGCGAGCAGGATACGAATAATATCAGCGATTTCAGTTTTTACAGCTCGGCCTATTATATGTATAATACTGATTTGGCAACCAAAATGTATGACTAGTATGTTGGATGTTACAATAAACAGATGACGCAACCATATAATAGAAGCAGGAGATGTAGCATGACAGGCAACTAGTTAGTCTTAGTCAGATCTCAGATCCGATGTAATAAAATGGCTCATAGAAGTTAAGTTCGAATTAAAAATTATAGTCAAAGTTTCTGCATTCTTTTCATTTATCCACTAATAAATAACATAACACAGCCAATGTTACAACACAGTCAGGCCTTATAAACTGGCAACATATTCGTTTCCTGCTCACTCTAATGCTAACTATTTGTAGCTTCCACATGCACTTGTGCAAAGCGTATTGGAAAACGTTCAGTGGGCGACACTGTATATATTTATTAACGTATGTGATTATAAAAACTAAAACAAACCTGTATGAGTTCTGACGTGAATATTCATTAAAGTATAGCCTTGGAATTCTTTTTGGCAGAACTCGCAAGCGTATTTTTTCTTCTTTTTAATTTGACCAGCATGATTCCTCAAATGCTCTGCTAGATTGTCTTTTCTTGTAAAACATCGCTTACATACCTACAAAACAAAAACGTTCTCTTCAAAATATTAAAAATAGAAATAATTATAAACATCAAATAAATATAAATAGTAAAACTTGTAGTTAAATGCCAGTAAAAAATTGTTAACCTTTAAACGATGTATTTACTTACCCTACAATCAAACACTTTCCTTGGTTGTCCCATGCATCCAGTCTGTCCTATGTGACGATCCAGATGGTATTTTCTAGTAAACTCCCTGTTGCAATCCAAGCATTTAACATTTTTAATAGGGTGAACCTTCATATGGTCAATAAGCCCCGTTTTTGTTTCAAATGCTTTTCGACATTCGACGCAGACAAATTTATCTCCTTTGGGATGTTCGATACTCAAGTGACGTTGCAGGAAGTTAACTTGCATGAAGAGTTTATCGCAAAAATCACATTTATATTCTCCAATCTGAAATTACAAGTTGGTTAGATACTTTTTGAGAAACCACTGTATAAGATACTTACTGTATGAGCAGAATCCCATGGTTCTCCACAACAAGGACACAACTGCAAAGTAAGTACATCATCTGCTTCACCATCATATTTTCTCTCATGATTTACTGTTATATGTCTTTTTAAACCCTAAAAATAATAAATACTTGTTTTAATTTTTAAATAAATGTGTAGTAATTAATTTATAACATTAAAAGCATATTTAGTATTATTTTTTGATTGAAATAATAGTTTTAATTATTTGGAAAAGTTGTTACATGCATTTAATGTTGGGACAATCATTTTTGGATTATAGTTGTAGTGGTAAATAAAGCTACATTTAATGTTTTACTTACTGCAGTAGTTCTGAATACTTTTTCACAAAGATCGCATTCCAGTGTCTCCTCTTTAATTTCATCAATGCTTGCATCATGATCTTGATCTATCACCATGGCATCATTACTTTGTTCATTGTTCTCCTCCTGCCATTCTTCTTCAACATATGCAGGATCATCAACCACCTCTTCATCTAATCTTTCTTCTATCATAGACTCGTCATCTATTGAACCTTGTTCAGTTGCTTCTTCATCTATCCTTTCTTCGCTTGCATATTCATATTCTTCAGCTATTTCTAGTTGGCTGAATTGAATATTGTCATTAGATTCCCCTTCATATTCAACACCTTCTTCAATTACATATTCAATAGAATTTTCACCATCTTCTGTTACTTCTTCATAAACTACAGTTTCTGAATCTACTTCTTCGTACTCTGCATTGCTGACAAATTAATAAAAAAATTAAATGTCATAAAATTACTTTTTTTAGAAAAAAGTAATTTATTCAACCTATTTTTTAGTCATGTGATATTAACCCTGTTAATTCTAACTTAGGTTTTAAAAATTGATATTTGTGTTAAGGTATAATCGAGGGTATAATTTAATGTACTAGGCAAAATATATGGGAATTATAATTAGGAGTATACTAAATAGAAGGGGGCGATCTACCCTTTTAGACACCATTCCAAATCCTACATTTTTTTGAGAAGATAGGATTGGAAGGGTCATTATAGGAATAAATAATAAATAAGTAACTTTATTTATCAAAAAAATATCATACAATAATTCAAAATAAACCAAAAATTCAATATAAACATGATTAATTCAAAATCAAAATAAACATAAAACTTAACATAACATAATTGTCCCTCATACATATAATAAAAAAAAAGAGAAAAAACAAAAGAATAAAAGAAACAGTGATGTAGGTATTTAACATAACAGATTGGTTAAAAGTATAACAAGTAAAAGAAGTAAAAGAAAAGAGAAAAAGAACTATGTTCAACAATATAATTCATAAATTATTTTTAACATAAATAATAAGTTCTTTCTTAAATTGACTAGGATTTTGAGCATTTCTAAAATTTTGAGGCAGATGATTGAATTGATCGATCCCTTTATGAAATAAGCTTTTCATAGAACTACTTTTATTAGTTGTTTGTATATAAAATTTGATAGAATTTGCTGCTCTTGTGTTTCTTTGATGTATTTCTGTGACAGGGATTATCTGTATCTGTAACGTGTGGAGGGTGGGTTACCCCCACGGCACTTAGGCCTCATTAGGCCCATGGTGCATCCTCCTGAGATGATAGGCACCTCCTAGCTCGTAGCCAGCCTACATTTAATGTAGTTGACAACGTCGCCAAGAGGTGCTTCTCTTATATCGGCCGGTGTTAGCCGATACTCGCCGAAAACAAATCTAATAAATGAGAGCGTCGAGCAATCGTAAAGAATATGCTCGATGGTCTCATCTTCTTGTTCGCACCCTCTGCAGGGTGCGGATTCTGACACTCCCATGATATGGAGATGTTTTCGTACTTGGCAATGACCAGTCAGAATGCCTGTAACTAGGCGCAGATTATGTCTAGTCATAGTCAAGTATTTGTTTGCTGCAGTGTTGTCAGGATAACTTAAGAGCTCCCTGGCAACTCTGCAGTTTCTTGTTTTTTCCCATCTTTCCTTGAATTTAACAAGGAAATGTTCTTTGATTAGGTCTGTCACTACCGATTTTGTCAAGCCAATAGAAGAGCCAGGTCCAAAAAGTATTTGGTTGGCTGCTTTCTTGGCTAGTGAATCAGCAAGACGGTTACCTTTCGATGTGGCGTGATCTTTGATCCATCTTAAGGTGACCACATTGTTGATGGATACTTCGGCCAAAGCTTCGTGACATTCTAGTAGTAACCCTGAGTAAATTTGTGGTATGTTCAGGGTGAGTAGTGCTTGTCTACTATCTGTATAGATGAGCATGTTCCTTCCAGTGATCGGGATTAGTTGACAGTTAAGATATTCAGGCAACAAATTGTTTATTATTTTAAATATAAAAAACATTGTTTGTACATATAGCAGTTTTTACAACCTAGTATCCCTCGAATCTCTTTGTTTTGTAAGACCTGTAGTCTATCAAAATTGGAACATCCTGTATATATTAAAGAACGGCAATAGTAAAAGTGGGGTAAAATAAGTGTATTATATACAGTCAATTTAATTGAAATTGATAGATACGGTGACACTCTTCATAAAAATCCTATTTTTTTCCTACTTTTTACAGATATACTCAATGTGTTTATTAAATTTTAGGTCTCTATCCAACATAACTCCTAAATACTTTATTTCTTGGACCATTTCTACTGTTTCGTTATTTATTTTAATGTCTAAATTTAAAATCTATTGTATAGAAAGTTGTTACCTATGAACATACATTTTGATTTCATCTTACTAACTTTTAATTTATTTTGTTTGAATTTAGATGTTAATAACCCCAATTCATGGTATTTGTATTTTACATTTTTTAAGAACCTGTCCCAAGTCATTTTTATAAAGTATGAATAGTAAGGGTCTAAGCACGTTTCTCTGCGGCACCCCAAAAGTATTTAATTCTGGTTTTGATACCTCATTATTAATTTTAGTTACTTGGTATCTATTTAATAAGTAATTATACAACCAATCATAGACAGATTCCTTAAATCCATATTTTTTTAAGTTTTGAAGTAAAATGTTACGTTCAATCGTTTCAAATGCACGTTTAAGATCAATAAAAACTGCGCAGATACCAACTCCTGGTTTATCAAGAATATTTTTCATATCTAAAACAACTAATTGTAAAGCCGACTCGCAAAGAATGTGCTTTCCTAAAGCCCGATTGATAACTGCATATAGTATTTTATTTGAAGTTATAAAATTCATGATTTGATTGTACACAACTACTTCTAAAAGTTTTTCACAAAATAGAAGCATATTTATGGGTCGCAACTGATCTGCCTTGTTTGTATTAGTTATTTTTGGGATTGGAATTATTGTTGATGTTTTAAATCTCTGTGGAACAATACCCTTATCTAAACTAGTATTTATTAAATTAAGTAATGGATAACAAAGTACATGAAATAGATTTTTAATGATATCAAAACCTATCTCATCTGTACTAGACTTTTTTTTGAGTTTTAATTACTTCATACAAATTGCTTAGGGTAACTGCTCTAAACTTCGTCATTGATGATTCGTTGAAGGGAACTGTTTCCAAGCAAGCTTCAAAGTCCTCATCACTTATATTAATAGTTAACACAATATTCTGAATGCTACCAACGTAATATTGATTTAAAACATCAGAAATATTCTCATTATATTCTGTCCCTTCACACAGCAAACTATTAATGTAGTTTTTCGAATTTTTTTTCCAACTATTCGTTTAAGATGTTTCCTCATTAATTTTGGATTGCCCTTGTTTTTATCTATATTTCATAAAAATTACGTTTGGCTTCCCTCAAGCTCCGACGACATTCATTTCTTTTTAGTAAATGTAAATGTTTTGTAAGCCATATTTTTATCTTTAACAGCTTTTCTGCATTTATTGTCAAACCACTTATTATTTACATTATGTACTTGAATATATTTTGTAGGAACTATAAAATTAATTACTGATAATACATTATCTAGAAAAATATCTGCTAGAACGTTAACATCAACTACAGAATATCCCCAATCCCTTTCAATCAAGATGTTGACCATTTTATCATAATTTATATTCATACGAATTTTTTTTAGTTTCCTCTAAATTAATATTTAAATTTTGTATTTTGACTTGTATAATGAAATGGTCCGATATTATGCAATTTTTTTCCACACAAGCAGTTAAAGTGAAATCATTAGTTAACACGAGGTTAATTGTTGACTTAGCATCTGTATATACTCTAGTAAATTCAGTAATTAGTTGTTTTATCTCATTATTTTCAATATATTCAGAATTAAGATTATTCCCTTGCTGCTTAAGAGACAGATGGAGAAACAACAGATTTTGAGGTCGCAGGGTATTAATACCCCTTACAAAAAAATAACATAAATTTAATTTCTTCTTTGGGGATAATGAAAACATTAGGTAGGTATGTATTTTCAGTGTATTCAAAGATATTAAAAACATTCGAAGTCCAGTTAGGATATGATAATGAAATTATTTTTTTACCATTCTTTAAGATCATCAGGCATAGATAATTTATAGAGTTACAAACAGTTTTTATTTTTTAATTATTATATTCTTTAACGCGGGCATCTAAGTTTAGTAACATATTAAATTTATTAATATTTTAATTTACTTTAATTAGTAATATGTTTTTAATTTTTAGAAAATTAAATATAATTTAAAATTATTAAAAATAAAACTTACTTAATGATATAGGTACGTATAACATTATTGTCTTCTTCCAAAGTATTAATTTCAAGATTCCCGTCAGAATTACTGTTGTGTGAAATAATTTTTCCAATAATCTCCAAATGGTTACTACCCTCTTCTCCAGTTAGCTGAATATTTTGAAGAACTACAGTTTCAACTTCTCCATTATCAATAGGAGCTGTATCAAGGTCTACAATATGTAGTCGTTGATTATCTTCACCTATGGAATCTTGAGAATCAGTGATATTTTCTGTTTTTACGTCAATTTCATGTTTTATTTTAGGACCAGATATAGATGGCTCCTCCATGTTCTATTGGTAGAAAGTAATAGGAAATTTAACAGACAATAATATTAATAATATATATACAACTTATTGACTATTTTATATGACTTTTTATGTTCACGAACTAAATAAAAACTTATTTTCAATACCTTTTTAAATTGTAGTTGATTAAAAGACCTGGAAATTATAAAGGTTTAGTTACCTTTCCAACTACTGGGCTCATTACTAATTATTAATAAAAATGTGTCACACCTATTAAGGCAAAATTACCCTTAGGTATGAGTGACCATATAGTTATTATGGTAACATATGAAAACAATATCATACTAGGAACAAAATATAAATTATAAAAAAGGAATTTCTGGAAAAACTATACAACAATAAAAATGAACACATTCAAATTTATGTGAACATTATGATGATTTCTCAAAAATAACTTGTGATACCATTAATCAATTTATACCATTTGAAAAAAGAAAGAAACACTTAAAGCTATGGCTTAATAAAATGTATAGAATTTAGGAAAAAGGTGCTCATGGGATTATAATAGTAAGGATGATGGTGACTGGTGACTACATCTGAAATCCTATCCTACTAATATATAAATGCGAAAGTTTGTATGGATGGATGTTTGTTGCTCAATCACGCCACAACGGCTGAACGGATCTGGATGAAATTTGACACAAATATTATAGTCTGGAATAGCACATAGGCTACTTTTAATGCCGGAAAATGCACGGTTCCTGTGGGATAATTTCTTTTTCACAGAGCAAGCAATCAGACATGATTTTTTGCATAGTGGTAGTGAAAATCAAAATTTTAAATACAGCTACTGAGCATAAATAAATAATGGTGTACTTCAGGATTTTTGGATTTTTCACATTTTAAGGGTGGGGAGGGGGGACGAGGGTGGAAAGTTTGCATGGAAGCATCGATTTTTTTAAAGGCAGGATCTTGAAAATTAAAATTATAGCTAATCATCATAAATAAATAAATAATGGTTTTTAGATTTTCAAATTTTAAAGGGAGAAAGACGGACAGGGGCGAAATGGGGGAACGAGCGATATATGTTTGTATGGGTGTATCGATTTTTTTATAGGAAGGAACTTGAAAATTGGAATTGTAGCTATTTATCATAAATAAATAGACATGTCTCAGTGTATATGGATTTTTACATATTAAGGGAGGAAACGGGAGGTGAAAGTTTGTATGAGACTTTCAGTTTTTAAAGGTAGAAACTTGAAAATTTGAATTGTAACTACTTATCATAAGCTAATAATGACGTATTTTCACATTTTAAGAATGGGGGGGGGGAAGGAGGGTATCGTAAAAATAAATAATACATATAAATAAATAAAAGTAAATTATTAAAGATTGGTAAAAATTGGTAAAAAATAATAAAAATTATTAAAAATCAATAAAAATTAATAATAAATAATAATAATTAATAAAAATTAATATAAATTAATAAAAACTATTAAAAAGTAATAAAAAATAATAAAAATAAATAAAAGTAAATTAATAAATTATTAAAAAATTAGTAAAAAATAATAAAAATTAATGAAAACTAATAAAAATGAATGAAAAATAATGAAAAATAATAAAAAATCAATAACATTTGACAAGTACTGCATGAAAACCTTTCTCTCGAATAATGAAAACGGTTATTCACTTTTAATAATTGAGGTTTGAGAAATTCCAGCAAAGCGGGATCGGATCAGCTAGTCATTAATAAGTGAAGCTAGAACAGCATATGATAATAGTTTAGATACAGCTGGTGATAAGAAATCATTCAGTGGACACTGGAGTAGTACCTAACACCTGGAAGCACACGATTAGGTGACACCCTTGTTCAAAAGAAGGGAGCAAACAAGATCCAGAACATTATAGGCCATTAACGGCACCGCAGCGGATGACATATTGCGCAGTGTGAAATGGTGCAGGACTAAATAGCCCAAAATGAAAATAGCATTAGAAAATCTAGTGCTGGTACAAAATGCCCCTATAACAAAAGAATGGAATTGAAAACAGCGCCGTAACAAAAACACGTAGAGAATACGACTACAAAAAATAGCATTGGATATATTAGCACTAAATAGCGACAAAGAGCGTTTTTTTTATTATTTAATATTATTAAATTAAAAAAAAAACTCAAGTACCTAACTTGTGCCGAGCGGGTTGCTTTACAAAAAAAATATACATAAAATGAGAGAAAAACTTAACTAATTGACCTAATCTATGAGGCTTGGAGCGCCAATTTTTCCTGATATTTTGAGCCAGCACTTTTTTAAACCATCGCTATTCTATTTCAGAGTTAAGAAATTATCATGTTATCAGTGGAGTACCACAGGGTTCGGTGTTGGGGCCACTGTGATTCCTCCTAAACGCTAGTGACTTGGTCAATAATATAAATACCCCTGTAACATTATATGCAAATAATACAAAAATGTATTGCATTACGAATGAAAGTAGAGAAGTCATAGGAAATCAGCTGGTCAGACAAATGTTGATCCCCTTCAATTATAATAAATGCCACAGTACTTCACATATGTCCAAACAATCCACATAACGTATATTACATCAATGAACAAAGAATGCTAACAGTTACAGTCCAGAAGGTTTTTGTGTTTTTAAATCTTCGAATTCAAAATGGGAAATTCATATTTCTAAAGTTGCAATAAAGGTCAACACCTACATCTAGTTAGAATTACATTAAAATACTATTTAAAGGAAATTATTTCCAAACTATATAAAACCGATATTAGTATTTTTATTTATCAGTACAGTTTGAAATCACAAATAAAAAGGTAGCACTAGCACAATACGGCTTGATCCTTAGTTGTCCTACAGAACCTGGGTGATAGCATGGGAATATAAAGCTATAAAGGGTGAATTATCTACAAAAACTCTTCAATAATTTGGAGTGGAGATTAGTCACATTGACTTTTAATAAAAATGGCAAAAAATACATTCGGAAAGATGGCTTTTTCACAAAGAAATAAGTTTATAGATCAAATTTAAACAACAAATATAGAAAAATTCTCATAAATTAGCAAAATTTCAAAATATTTTTGAATTAACTAAATTACTTATGCAACACCTATTACATATCATAAATCCTAATACATCTTCCATATTTTATTTACAAAATATCGCTAGCTACAAAATTTTTATTAAAAATAAACAGCCTTCAATTATGCTAATTGTTAAAAAAAGGTGCTCCAGAAATTATATAGATTTATGTTAGTATTGTTAGTATTTTATAACCTTTAATTTACATAAAGATGTTCCTGTTGACAATTATAATCTTAAAAGGAGAAAGTCTACAATTCTGAATTATACAAGCCTTCCGTGTGGCTATCAAAGTCCAAGTCACTGCCCTATTTAAACGTTTGACCACGACATATAAACTATATAATTTGAAATTATATTAATCTCAAAATATTGACGATTTGTTTTAAAACTTTCTAAAAACAGGCAACACAAATTATATGCAAGGGATAGATGATTTACTTACGCGCCCCTGAAAAGTCGACAACCGTCGTATCACAAGAACACTCAAGATGGAGGCGGGCTACCTTCCTAGGTGCGTCAGTTATAAATGCGCATGACCGGTAAATTTGACTTTTGAATGTCTGAATCACAGAACTAACAAATAAGATTTTTTTTCTAATCTGATATGGGCGTGGATATGGGTTTATATTTACAGGTTTTTAATTTCTTTTTCACATTAAAATAAATTATTCTCATGTCTTAAGTAAACCTCATCGTAAATAAATTAAAAATATGGAAAAATAAAAAATAAAATGACAGCAAGGAAATAAAAAAAACTTCTATGAAAATGTGGTTCTATGTCGTTGCCGTAGCAACAAAAACTGTACATGTCAACAAATAACAATGAGGTTAAATATTTTGAATGATGTGAAATAAAAAAACTGATTTATTTTTAAGTACAAAACTTAAAATGACTGACGAAATTAGCCCAGAAGTTATAAAGAAGACCCAAAAAACTTTAGGAAAACATATAAAAAAACCACAATTAACAGAGAAATTGTTAAAGAAACCACCGTTTAGATTTTTGCATGACGTCGTTCATTCTGTAATAAATGGAACGGGATTTTTAAAAGGTTTGTACTCTGAAGAAGAGTTAATTTCGGATAATGTCACAGAAAAGGATGCCAAGATTGCGTTTTTGAACAAACTTATCGATGCAACCAGTAAGTAACATTTTTTCTATTGATCAATAATCTAGATTGTATAAGACGTGTCCTTTTGAACCCATTGACAAATAAAAAACAATTGCATTTGAGTTAATGTTAGTCCATAAAACTCGGGAAAACTAAACTGTTTGTGAAAAACAACCAAAATATGAAAAATTACAAGTATAAGCCCAATTTAACAACAAAAGTAATCTCACACCAACGGCGGCGGCTGGTGCATAAGTGCGGTAGAGCTGCAGAACTGCCAAAAAAATCTTGCAGAACACTAGCCGCCACAAATAGAATTAAAGAGGAGCAAACAATGTAATACAATTTTATTAAATATGTGTATTATTTGATGGGTTTCTATTTGACCCATTAGCACAGTTCTGCGGATTAAATATACTTCTGAAATTAGATTCAATGACTAATATTTTATCTTCTCTTATGACTTAATCCAATAATAGCAGTAATGTTTTAGAACATTCCAAATAGATTCATATCGTCAGTCTAAAGCACACTTATCGTATCTCCAAAAACCCATTTTGTGACAATCGCAAATTTAAACTTCAGCGAGGTGTACTAGAAAGTGTAATTAAATGCCTTAATTCTCAGTTTTAAATTTGAATTTATTGTAGTTTGGTGGGTGTTGGAGCTACAATGTTTGTGCCCAAAAAAAGAAGGCTAAAATGCGAATTGGTACCAAGATCAATATAACATTAAATTTGGAGTTACAATATGTGTGCTTTAGATTGACGATATATCCGAAATTGGACATATTATAAAATCCAAAAAATAATTAAATAAATTGTGGATTTTTTACATGTTTGGTTTTTTTTTATTTATTTATTCATTTATTTACCAACCAGGCAAATAGCCTTATAACATGTTAAAAAAATTACATAATATAGCCATTCTTAACATAACAAAATTGTAGGTATCTATAGTAATATACATTACAAACAGTATGAGTTCTAATAGCAACACATTGGATTATTAAACAAAGCACAATAATTATTTAGAAGTATTTCAAATATGACTTAAGATAAATTAATAAAATTCATTTTGAGACATTGACCAGTCTACATTAATTAGCCATTCATTAGCCAATTTAAGCATGCCAAAGGATCTCTTGTACTTATAAGGTGATTTGGAATTTTAAACTATAATAGTGAATGCATTATGGAAGATGGTGAATTAAAAGGAATGAGTGCTAGAATATCTGGACTATTTATTTTGTTGTTTATTATCTTGTACAGAAACATAATAGCAAATACATTTCACCTTTGTTCCAGGGTTTTAATCTGATTTTTAAATATCTATCATTATATCTATCATTATATCAGTTTTAAGGAAACTATATTACTAAATTAATTCTAACTTTTCAGAAACTTTAAGTCAAATTAATTTAACAGTAAAAGCTAGTAAAGTAGTAGCAGGATTAGAACCAACAAATACAAATTTATTACTTCAAGCAATTGCTAAAGCGATAGATGGAAAAGTAGACAGTGACCAATATATTTCTCAGATCAAATCCAATAATAAAAATGAAAAATCCTCGGAAAAAACTAAAAAAAGTAACATACCAAAACCAGAGAAATCTAAAAGTGTTACTAGAACTTCAAATAAAGATGAAAAAGAATCAAGAACTTCAAAAACTAGTAAGAAATCTTCAGTTATTGAGACGCCAAAATCAAGTTCTGATACATCTAAAAACAATAAAGTCAAAACATCCTCTAGGAAAGAGGATGAGACCAAACACAAAACAGGTAGACGTGGTAGAGAAGAAACAAAAAATACAAAAGATGTTAAAAAAACGACCAAAACTAAAGAAAGTCAAAAATCTAAGGAGAGCCCTAAAACTGATGAAAGCCCAAACACTGATTCATCAAAGAAAGAAACCAACAACAATGAACCTATTGTCAGAAATAATAGCTTCACAGTAGATTCTAAAAACAAAGAAGAAACTGAGGAAAAGAAAGATATTTCCAAAAATGAACCCATAAGGCGAAATAGTTACATTGTAGATAAAAATAAAGATACAGAATCGAATAAAGGTATTGAAAACCATAAACTAAAAAACGAAAGTGATAATAAAAAAAAGTTAACAGATGAAATTGTAACTGAGAATATTCCAAATTTGGGAAATAATCAAAATGAAAAAAATAATGAAGAAGTTGAGGAGACTGTTAAAAGTTTAGTCAGGCCAAAATCCGCGAGACCTAAAAGTGGAGATATGAAAATTAATTCCATTTCTAAAGAAGAAAAGGTTAATAGTGATGAAGTAAACAAACGGTTAGAAAAGGGTAAGAAATATTTATTTGTCAGTTATACAATAAAGAGGTTTATAGTTAGTAGTCAGTAAAAAATGTCTGGTAAGTGTAACAGAGTTGACATATATTGAAAGAATTCTCGTTTTACCATAAAAATTATGCAAATAAATTATTTAAAATACATAATTTTTGCTTAACCATATATCATACTTAAGATCATTTATCTCAGAGGTAAATTACCTGAATTTTTTAGGTACCTTTATTTGAATGTTTGTTTTATAGAGACTTAAATTCACTATAAAACTTAATAATAAATACAGCTAATGGGGAAATATGTCACGCTGTAGGTAATCTCTGCACTTTTCCTGTCCAATCTGTTTAACTACAGATTCTTTACAGACTTTGAATTTTTATAATTTGTTTTTATTCAACTTCATTGAAATACTTTCAAAGTTACGTTACTATAGTTATATATTTATATTTATTTATCAGTCAGGAAGTCATGATACACAAATACCAGTATGGTCTTATGCATGCTAGCTCCTATCCTTGTCACATGATATGACATTACGTGGCATAAAAATCCGATGCATCTACATACATAAATACAAGTAACGAGACGGTTTAGATAATAAAAAAAAATTGTTAAAGTGGTTTTTATGGAGAGAAAGTATGAAAGTTATTGTATAAGTACAAATATTGCACAATTTTTATGAACATTTAGTTCATTTATTATTGCAAATAACACAAAATCAAAACACTTTAAACTCTTCAAATAGAAAAAAGAATAACACACAAGCAAAATACTTTTAACTCTTATTTAAAATTCTAAAAATTAACGCGTATCATTATATCTTTATAATTAGAAATAAAACAGTATTAAAAAATAATTCTTATTTATACGTCAATCAAATAGTGTTTGCTTTATGCCATGTTACGTCATTCGCGGAAAGTGCGAAATTCGATCGCATTAGTAGCATACCGGTATTTGTGTGTCGTATTTATCACTTAGAAATGTAATGTCATATTTTCAAATATACAGAAATTCAGTTTATATTTTTGATTCTTTTTCACCTTAAAAAGAAAAATACAAAAGCAATTTAGTCACAAACACACATACCATTTTTACTGTAATGATCTACACAAGTTGTCAAATGATTTAAATGTAGTTTATTAGTCAAAGTCAGTATTATGTGTGACAACTAATTCTTAAATATGTTGAAATAACTTTCCCCTAAATTCAACCAAAACGTGCACTTCATTAAATTAACACATGAGTAGTCAACTTATTTACTTGTCTTTCATTACCCTAAAATTTTACATTAAGTTGGGAGTTTAATTGCATTTAATTCTATTTCCAAATGAATTTGAAACTATAAAAGATGAAGACCTAAGATTTGGTAGACATTTTTTTAAATAAATCAGAGCAGTTGCTGACGCTAATATATCAATAATGCAACTTTAAAAACAATAAAAACAAAAGTTTAAACAATTATAAAAAAAATAAAATATAATTTTTTTACGTGGACAAGCAAATAGTCTATTAAAAACCAATTACAATTACGTTGAAACCAATTCTCAAATTGATGTAATCACGAAGAAAATTGAGAAATAAAATACAAGCCAAAATTTTAAATAATATATGCGGTAATACCATTGTCTACCTTCTTTACCGATGATTTTAGTTCACGCATTCGTTTATAGAGCCAGTCGACTTGTTCCCAACAAGGATTTCAAACATTCTATTCGGAATATAGTTTTGATCATTTAAAGCCAAACGGAAGATGAAATCTGTACCTATTCAACAGTACCTGTAATTAAAATAATGGCAACATTAACAAATCACTTTGCACTCTGTATGTATTTGTGACTACATCGTATTTTAGATTTTCTTGTTTTATTTCATGAAGCTATACAGTCATTTGGTATAATTTTCTTAACTGTTCAAGAAAAATTAGAAATATTATTAATTAGGATTAGGATTTGTATTTAAAGCGACTAACTTTTTTTAATGTAAAATATCATTTGATCCATTTAAAAAAATATTAATGACGTCATAGATCCGTGAAATAGATAACACTGCATAAATGGCTTATAGAGCATTCGACTCGAACGTTCTTGTTTGATGCCAGAGTGGTTTTAATTTTGCACTCTTTTCGGGCAGCATTTTTATAATTCGAAATTAAATCGAACAATGCAGGCTTTGATTGCAAACCAGTTCGACAATGGCGAGGTGCATCATTTTATCGATATTCGACTGGTACAATTAAAATTTCTATTTTCTAACCTAATTTAATATCTGTGTTTTTTAAAAAGGTGGCTACTTATACACTTATGGGTGGGCTTCCATAGTGGTTAAATCTTTTTTATAAAAGTCTGAATTTTCAAATTTGGTTTTAAACATTTCATATGAATTTTTGTTCATCTTGAAGTTTTTTTAAACTGTGAAAAGCTTAGAATTTTTATTTTTAAAGTATATGAAAGTAATAAATTAAATTTGCCTCTTTTTCAGAATATGTTTCCACAACTTCAACTTATCCTACATATCAGTTTTTCTTTTCAATATTTTATACAACTCTTCCCAATATCAATACTAATATCTTCATCTTCCCTCCTACTGGATAATAATAAAGATAATGTTAACATATTTTAAAAATTGAAAATAAAACATAACGACCTAATCTTTAAATCGGCACTGGCTGGCACTGAAAAAAAGTGCAGTTCCAAAAAATGCGAACTTTGGGCAAGCGCTTCTGCAAGTCGAACAAAAATTTGACTCTGTCTAGTCGAACCAAATGTGCACCAGTGCGACCAGTCGATGCGCTATTAAATTGCATAACTTGAGCTGTAAAGTCATTTGGTATAATTTTCTTAAAAACTGTTCGAAAAAATTAGAATTATTATTAATTAGGATTTTCATTTAAAGGGAGTAATTTTTTTAATATAAAATATCAATTGTTCCATTTAAAAAATATTACTGACGTTACAGTTTCGTGAAATAGATAATACACTGCATATAAAAGAAGAAATTACTTACGACCTGTCAAACAATAGCTGCTAGTAAGGAGGGCTCTTTTATATCTAAGAGGGTTGCGACATAGTATTTCTTCCATCTTGGACGCTATTTTTACTTGAAATAGTAGTCGCCAAGCCTGCCAATTTATGAAAAATGTATAGGTACTTTTTTTAATAATATTTTAATTGTGTTCAACATAAAATATTTAAATTTAATCCCTTATTCGTGCTTTTACGTATTGTAGATAGAATACATCGTATGTCGCAACTTTCTAAATATACCACCAACAAGTTCTTTTGTTTTGAATGCCTAAATCAGTATTAAGCTGCGTAAAGACCGTGTCAACGAATGCCAACAATGGGGTTTCGTTGGCGCGGCATAGACGATTAAGCAAATACCAACGAGGGTTCGCTGGCGTTTGCCGACTAGCGGAATCGTAGCGGTAACATCAAAGGAGTGGGCGACTCGAGCGAATGAAATGTGGACAGATAAGTCCATACGAGTATTATACCATAATGAACATTTAATTCGGATACGTACCCAAACGAACGTTTGATCGAACAACAAATGCATGTATATTGTATATTAAAGACGCCCAAATTTGTTTCAGTTAAAAAATTAGCAAAGTTACGATTATTTTGACAATTTTCAGTTTTTATAAATCTACAAATTTAAAAAAATATTTTAGGTTTTTAAGACAAAATAACTAATTTTAAATTAATTTTTGAATTTAACTAATTTATGAAACAAAATAAAATAAACATAAAAAAAGATTTAATTCAATTAGCCTCAACTCAACATGTCTCAACATAACAGGAGCCATGAAAACAACACCGACTAGAGCGATGGAAGTCATTCTTAGTCTCACTCCCCTTGATATTTACATCTAGAAGATTGCTCTGACGACAATAACACGCCTCCGCACGGTCGGAATAGAACCTGATGTAGGATCTGGTGAGGCGAGACGTCACTTTTGGCAGGAGGCGCTGGATACGCTCCCACTGTTTCAAGCGAACATGGACTCCATCTCATCGGAAATATATCTTTCATAAGTCATTTTAAGTTATAGAACAAATAGAAGTGCCGGAAGTGGCAGGTACGATTCATATCTACACCGACGGTTCTAAAACAAAACAAGGCTCAGGATGTGGAATATACTCCAGATTCTTAAACCTAAACATAAAATGGGCTGTGAGCAATAGTGCCAGTGTAGTTCAAACAGAGCTCACGGGGATTCTCATAGCACTAAAAGAAATAACCGGAAACAATATTACTGGAAGGAACATGCTCATCTATACAGATAGCAGACAAGCACTACTCACCCTGAACAGACCACGAATTTATTCAGGGTTAGTACTAGAATGTCACGAAGCTTTGGCCGAAGTATCCATCAACAACGTGGTCACCTTAAGATGGATTAAAGGTCACGCCACATCGAAAGGTAATCGTCTTGCTGATTCACTAGCCAAGAAAGCAGCCAACCAAATACTTTTTAGACCTGGCCCTTCTATTGGCCTGACAAAATCGGCCAAATCAAAGAACATTCCCTTGTGAAATTCAAGAAAAGATGGGATGAAACAAGAAACTGTAGAGTTGCCAGGGAGCTCTTAAGTTATCCTGACAACACGCAAACAAATACTTGACTATGACTAGACAGAATCTGCGCCTAGTCACAGGCATTCTGACTGGTCATTGCCAAGTACGAAAGGATCTCCATATCATGGGGCTGTCAGAATCCGCACTCTGCAGAGGATGCGAACAAGAAGATGAGACCATCGAGCATATCCTTTATGATTGCTTGATACTCTCATTTATTAGAAGATTTGTGTTCGGCGAGTATCGGCTAACACCGGCCGATATAAAAGCACCTCTTGGCGACGTTGTCAACTACATTAAATCTGTAGGCTGGCTCATGAGCTAGGAGGTGCCTATCTTCTCAGGAGGATGCACAATGGGCCTAATGAGGCCTAGATGCCGTGGGGCAACCCACTCTCCACACGTTACAGATACAGATAGCCCCAACTCAGATTTGAACCCAGACCTATCGCGTGGAAGACAAACGCCGTGTCCTTACCTCCATCGCCACACTTACGATTTTAGTTTTAATACTCTTAATTAAATTAGTTTTATATAGGTAGTTCGATTAAAATTAAAGATTTATTTGTAAATGTAGACAAAATGAAAAGAAATGCTATTATTTATCGATTCTACACAAGAATAACTCATTTTTACGTATATTTAATCTTAATAACTAAAAAATGTATTGACAATTAGTTTGACAGAATTGTCACTCATATAAAATTTAAAAAATAATAGTAGCCGAGTGGCCAAAATATGAACTGTGATTGATGGATTTAAGTTTTTTGCAATGTTCGTACTAGGTAAAATGGATATGAAATATATTCGTTAAGTTGAACGCAAAGGCATACTTTTTCGTTTTGTAGCCTTTGCGTAGATTAGCTAATACCCATGTGGTTGTAAAAAAAATGTATTCATACTTTTTTTTACAGAATCTACAGAATGAAAATGTAACTACATGTCAGTCTATTAAACGAATAAAACGTTATATCTATTATGTAATGTGTGTAATGTGTATCGGATCGATGGCGTAGGTGTCTAACGCCCTCGCATTTATTTGCGAGCAATTTACTGGATTAGAGACCTACAGAAGACCATGTGCATTTAGTTGCACGGTTCTCTATAGGATTTGATGGATGCCGTATTAGCAGATATTTCTGTTGATATGATATCCAGATTATAAAAATCGCCGCCATGCGTTACCGTTGCGAATATGGTGTAAGTTAAATGGCACTATCAATCATCTTCAAGTCGCCCCGGAGCGCCACAGCAAATAATAATAATATCCGTCCCTTTTCAGGACAAGCATAGCTTTTGGGGTTAAAATTTCCTCATAAGGGGGTGAATTATGGACAGTATTAATATTAAATCCATCAAACGTTTAATAGTCCGCCAACTAAATATTCTACAGCCACACGGATATTACACATATATTTTAAGCACAGACTACAAAACCTAAAAGTACGCCTTTACATTCTACTGAATAAATATAAAATTTAATATTCATTCTAGAAAGATTGGACTACTATTATTTTTTTAAATAAGTGACAATTTTGCCAAACTAATTTTCACTATATTTTTTAGTTATTAAGAATAAATATAATTTAAAATGTGTGTTTTTGTGAAGAGTCGTTAAAAAAATAATAGCATTCCACAAGATATTTGTTAACATTTACAAATAAATCGTAAATTTTATTGACACTAAACCAATCTAATTATCAGTATTAAAAATAAAGTTGTTTGTCTCGTTATAGCAAAGATAGAGTAGTGAATTTTCATGCGAAAGGTCCGAGGTTCAAATCCAGGACGAGGACTAAAAAAAATATTTTTAAAATAGTTATTATATCTTAACCTTTAATTAATTTTAAAATTTTGTAGGTTTTCGTTTGTGGGTCGTAGAAAAATTAAAAATAAGTGACGAATCGTTAAATAATAACAATCCATTAGATATTAATCGTTAATAGTTAAAGAAACCGAAAATTTTGGTAAAATTGTAACAAAATGACCTAAACCAATTATTTAAGTGTAAATGTTAAAGAGAAATAAATGAAAAGTTATCGCGAAAGTTTGAGGGATCAGTTTTCGTACGAAAGGTCAGAAGTTCAAATTCGGGATAAATTCAAGCAAATTCTTGTTTTTTGTTTCAAGTTTATTTTATAATTTGGTACAATCCAGAAATTCAAATCTTTTTAAGACGTAGATTTTCTATAGTGATTCATAGAAATGTACTATACAATACTATACAATTCGAGTGGTTTGCTTGTATCGCACTGAATACTTTATTGCATTTTTGTAGATCATATGTTTTGAAAAAACACGAAACGGAACATACCGTAACAAAGTCAGTCTTCACAAAACTTTTTCCAATAAAAAATTACCTATGTACAAAAACAAATGTAGAATTCTATAATCAATCTCTTTATTATTATAAGGTGAAGGGGGAAAAAGTCCTTTATATCTCACAAGGAAAGTCAATGTTTAATTGTGAGATATAAAGAACTTTTTCTCCCCCTTCACATTAAAATTACCTCAACTCACACATGGCTACCCCCCTTGTCAATCTTTATTATTAATTATTGTTTTTGAAATTGTAGGTGTTCGTTTTTTGAACTATTTACCCTTAATTGATGGTTTGTTTATATCCACTCAACGCTTTGACCTGACGTTCGTTAGCGGAAACCGGTAGCATTTAGAGAAAATAGTTTTGAGTAACTTCAAAAAAAAGGTGTCAGCCTAAATGCAAGTTTGTTACTGAAAAATGTATAATTTGTAGGAGGGCCAAACTGGTCAACGGTTGGCAGGCCGCCAAAACGACACTGACGGGCCGCATCCGGCCCGCGGGCCGTATGTTGTTGCCCCCTGGCGCAGATGGTCGTGAGGGTTAGCGTTCCTGCCTTTAATACGGAAGACTCGAGTTCAAATCTTGGATGGGACAAATGAAATTAAATCTTTTTTTTTCTGGTTTATTTTATTTTATAAATTAGTAAAAGTCATAAATTATTTTTAATATTTGTAGATTTTCGTTAGTGGGTCGTAGAAAAAATATACTGTACAACTCGAGTGGATTATCCATATCGCACTCAGAAGATTGAGCACTCCGCCTACTTGCTCAAATTTCATTTTTGTGCGATATGGCCATCATATCCACTCTTGTTGCACAAACTACTATTATGTTTCCTTTCTCTTTATATTTAACATATTGCTACATAACAAACTTTGAATGAACCCTATAAATTCAGTTAAAACTACTTTTATTCAATTCATATTGAAACAACTACATGTTTAATTGATTAATTTATATTTAAGCACCAGAAATCCCACAACCGAAAACTTTGGCACAACCACCCCGCCCAAAAAGCTCTCTCCGCCCTCCTAGTGTTCGCCCATCTAGTGCTCGACCTGGAGCTCCTCGTCTAAGGCCAGATTCGGCCCTCCCTCTTCAGGAACCCATCGCCATGGGCAACATTAACGTTATTGTAGAACGAATTGATACAGCCACAGTGGACGAAGAAGAAACTGTTGTTATAGAAACGGCCCCTGCTGAGCCTGAAGTTGTTCCAGAGGTCAATGTTGAGTTGGATAATAAAGGACACCTAGTGGAGCAGATTTTAGAACAGTTGGAGGAGAGTGGAGGGAAAAAAAGAACTGAAATCGATTGGGATCCTGATGGTAGGTTTTAACTTTATTAATTTCTTTTTAGAGTATTTAATTTGAATAAAAATAGTAACAAAAAATAATAGCATCCCTTCCCCGAACAAAGCTCATCCTTCTATTGGCCCCATTATATTGAGAAACTTCATTTCTATTTCGCTAATACTGTTTTACTAGATAATATAAATATTATGATTATCATTAGTTTCATACTTATTTTGTGATAAAGATGTTAGTTGTTTTTGTCTTCTCTTGGCCATTTCTAAATCTGTATTTTCATGTTTGATGCTTCTTAAATACTCAAAAGTGTTATTGAGGCAATTTCTTATGTCACCTTCGTTTTACTGGAATTTATTTACATTCTATCGTGTTCTATTTATGTCCACCCATAATTTAAATTTATTTGTTTCATGATCCTTTGCTTATGGCAATATCATTCGAGTACTGTAGTGCTATAAAAACCGAATCTTAGGGTACAAAAGGATGAATTAAATAACCTTATGTTACGTTTGTGGTATTAAAACACAGCGTCCTAAAAGATCATATGTGCCCCTTCTGTCGCTATTGAAGCAAGGGAATATAATCTTGATGCCTATAGCGACCCTTCCAATCCTATCTTCTCAAAGAAATGTGGGATTTCGAGTGGTATCAAGTTAGGTAGATCGCCCTCTTTTATTCGGTATGCTCCTAAGTATAGTTCCATTAGATTCCAGAGTGCTACACATTCAGTCAGAATGTGAATGGAGATTTCGTCCTCCCCACAGAATCTCCTTCTCCTCCTCACTGAATCTTCACTTACTATCTTCTACTAGTCCCAGTTAAAGGACACCTTAGTAAACGACAATACCCGGTAAGGATTCTTGTTACAATACATATTCCTTGATAATTTCTGGCTACAGTCACCCAGAAGTATCTTAGCCTGTCTACTGCCTAATTCTTTTTTAATCTCTCCCAATATTGTGTTACTGCTGATAACACAGAGAGTGTTTGAACAAGTGAGTGTAACTTTATTTTCCTCTCCTAGTTCATTCAGTTGTTTAGGCATCTCCAGACCATTTTTGAACTGAGTACGTAAGAGCTCAGCGATTTGATGGTTGCTTGGCTATTGGGTATGATCTATTGCCTGCGATATAGAGATGTGCGATTCGATACGATATTTGACAGTATCGATATTCAGGAGTTCGAAACTCGATATTTTGTATCGATATTCTATGACTCAAGTCTCAAAGATACCCCGTATCGATACATGTATATATATAAATCGTATCGAAAATAAAATAACACGTATGCATCACTAATTACGAAATTAAACTCTGCCATCTATGGATAAGGTACTAAACATACATTAGTCCGGTTGAAATAATGTATTTTTTTTAATTATACACCTTTTTCACTTCCATATTTTAAAATAAATTTACTTGTACTAGGTATATTGTATATTAGTATACCATTTCGGTATTATGAGTATCGATAATGTTGCTTACGATAATAAAGTGTATCAATAGATTAAAATTAGATGTGAATCGATACGCAGTATCGATACTTTGGTATGTATCGAACATCTCTACCTCTACGATAGTTTTGCTCGATGTTGAACTGGATATACTTCTTAATGGTGCTAATTTCCGCTTGAAAGATGCTTGGGTATTTACCAAAACATTCAGAATACATGGTTCTAGGCCCATACAGGGTGATGTTCGGTAAGTTTTATTATCCATTCACTACGTACTGAAACTACTATAGGAAAGTATACAGGGTGTCCCATTAGTGCGTAATTGTTCAATATTTCTATTCGTGTTATAGACACGCAAACAAGTTTCTAATAAAAGTTATATGAATTTAAAAAATACGTATTTTAAAAATGTTTTTGGAGGGTGTTGAATTTATGCCTGACAATTAAAAAAATATATTTTTTAAATTGAACACCCTGTATTTTATTTCACTTTTAGAATGATTTAGTGATACTATAATCAACCCTACAAATTTTATTAAAAAATATTACAGGTTTGCCAAGCAATTAATTTTTTTATGAAATTATAAAATGATGCAAATTAAATTATAATAATTTTTATTTGCCAGGTAAAAACGCAACTCCCTGTATGTCCAAAAATATTTTTTAAATCCATACAACTTTTATTTGAAACTTGTTTGCGTGTCTATAACACAAATTAAAATATTAAACAATTACGCACTAATGGAACACCCTGTATATTATTTACTAGATGGAATGTATCGGCACCAGACCACTTTGATAATACAGCATCGAGTTCTCGTATTTATTGAGTTCTTGGGGTGGGAAGACGTTGAATAAGCCTCTGGAGACTCGAAGATGAAGAAGTGATGTAGGGCCATATTCGGAAGGAGGAGACGTTTAAGAAGCCTCTGGAGACTCAAAGAAAAAGAACAAGAGAAACTGAAGAAGTGACGTAGGTCTATCGAGTTCTTTAAAGACGAGATATTAAACTTTTTAAAAAGAAAACCATTATTATAGTAAATTTTGTAACAAAAAGTTAAGTGCATTATTTCCGTTTTTAGTTAATCATTACTTTATACAGGCTGTTTCATTGGTAAAGGGATTCCCTTTAACCATGGATGGAGACCACTGAGGTGCTTCCAAATAACCCATACTTAATGGGTCTTTCGACCTTTATAGCCAAGATACAGGGTGTTTTATCAATTTGGCCTATTTCTTTCCAGATCTGTAACTTATTAACCACCCTGTATATGTTTTTGACATTTGGCGTACTTATTCACCGTAACTTACCAAATCTAAAAAGGTATAAACAAGAAACGAAATCCAGGTCCGTCTTTACAAAAAATTAATAAATTCGTCCATCCTTAAAACAACATCCTGTATGTCTGAATTTGAAATTTTTGTTTTCATATTTGAAAAGAGCACAAAAAACTGAATCCAATAATGTACATTTTATTTTTGCGCAGACGATTTTACTACTGAAATTATAAGTCCAAATTGTTATTTTTGAGCATTTTGGAGGTAAAAACTGGAAACGGACGGAGTTTTATTAATTTTTTTACGGTATATTTAACATTCCAACATTTGTATTTCTTTGTATTATTAGTTGTTATTTTGATTTGTTTATTATCTATTAATTAGTTATTATTTATGTGTTTTTCCTTTAGTTGTAAATGTTATTATTTGTTCTACTGAATGTTAGTCGCTTTCCATATTATTATCCTACATACTATTTGTTAAAACTTACACGAAATAATTTATACAGGGTGCGGTCGAAAAAAAAATAATTCTGATTTTTGGCCCTAAAACCGGACCTGAAATTATTTTTTGAAATGGTGTAGATGCATACAATTATATGTATTGATATATCTGTAGCTTTTAGAAATATACTTCTTTAAATAATTTTAAATATACCTTAAAAAAAATTAATAAAACTCCGTCCGTTTCCAGTTTTTACCTCCAAAATGCTCAAAAATAACAATTTGGACTTATAATTTCAGTAGTAAAATCGTCTGCGCAAAAATAAAATGTACATTATTGGATTCAGTTTTTTGTGCTCTTTTCAAATATGAAAACAAAAATTTCAAATTCAGACATACAGGATGTTGTTTTAAGGATGGACGAATTTATTAATTTTTTGTAAAGACGGACCTGGATTTCGTTTCTTGTTTATACCTTTTTAGATTTGGTAAGTTACGGTGAATAAGTACGCCAAATGTTAAATACATATACAGGGTAGTTAATAAGTTATGAGTCTGGAAAGAAATAGACCAAATTGATAAAACACCCTGTATTTCGGCTATAAAGGTCGAAAGACCCATTAAGTATGGGTTATTTGGAAGCACCTCGGTGGTCTCCATCCATGGTTAAAGGGAGTCCCTTTACCAATGAAACACCCTGTATAAGTTTATAAAACTGAATTAGACTTAAATGTAGTAGAACAGACCAACCATACAAACTGTTTGAGAATAAACTACTTCATAGAATTAATAATACTTTATTAACTATTATATTACTTTTAAATTCTAATTAACTAAAAAAAATTAAATTAAAGGTATATAGGGTTCATAAATTTAGAATCTTCCATTTCCTCCAAACAGTACGTTCACATTAGGTTTCCCTGTACCATATGGTCCTCCATAGCGCCTATCGTACTGCGCGGATAGACCCACATCCCAATTTTTTCCTTGAGCTATATTATATTTAACTCCAGCGCTTAGATCAGTTCCATAGCCAGGTGTTCTATTAGCACCCACAAACGCAGTGGAACCAGATGGATTATGGGTGTAGTCCAAACGTCCACCGAATGTGTCGGGTTTGAGTCCATGCGAGCCCCATGCTTTAGAACCGGAGTAAGCACCGTCTAATTTATGGTTATCGTTGCTGAAAAGGGTGCCCTTTTGTCCTAAAGTGTATCCACCTTGGTTGGCTCCCCAGATCAAATCCCTGCAAAATAAAATATTACGTATAAATTCTACAAAATAATGAAAACTATTGTCAGTTTCTCTATTTAACCTTTCGGTGCCACTAAATATTGAAGAGTAATTAGATAACGAAGTTGAATTATTAATAAAAAAAATTTGACAATATAGCATGAGAGAATACACCAGCAAAGACTCAGAGGGTAAAAGGAAACAATTACCCGACAAAAATTTGGGAAAAAATTTAAAGAAAGAAGGAAATTAAAAAGGAAATGGCGACAAACCAGATATAAGAGCGTTAAACAATCCAACTCGGCGATTAAAACGAAGCATTAATCATATCAAACAAGAGTTGATTGATAACTACCTGAGTGAACTAACTGATTAACAAAAGCAAAGAATATTTACTATGGAAAGCTACTAAGAGAATTAATAGGCCCATATTTCAAAATTCACCAATTAGAAATGCAGACAGAACCTGGATACGTAACAACTACCAAAGGCCTGTAGATTTGCAATGCATTTAGAAATGATTAACAACAACATGACTGAATTAAACCAATTACTGAAAATATCATCATTAGACCCACTTCTCCAAAGGAAGTCTCTGATGAAATAAAAAACAACATTAATCCGAAAATAACTCCTGGTTTTGATTTAATTATCAGTGAAATTTTTTTGGGAAGGTTTTTAAGAGGACTTAACAAATACTATTCAACTGACCATAACACTAAAAACGAAAAATCAGCTAGATCAAGAACTGGAAAGGTTTATAGTTGAAATCCAGCAAGCTGCATGAAGGAACACACCAAAAGTAAGAAGATTAACTGCTGGAAAAAACTATCCTGTCGAGATAAGAGAACTGGTAGCAGAAAAAAGAAAACTAAGAAAGAAATGGCAGATGACAAGATTAGCAGAAGATAAAAATATATTAAATAGATCCAAAGACTGAGAAATCCTAAATCACAAAGAATCCTTCAACAGATACCTAGTAGGGCTAACAGATGATACATAAACTGATTATTCACTTTGGAAGGCAACTAAAAGGATGAAAAATTCGTGTAAACACTGTCCTCCAATCAGAATAGCAGATAACAAATGGACAAGAGACACTCCTATCAGTAGAGAACCCAGTGCAAATTTCTACCGTCATCTGATAACGAAATGAAATATGCTTCAGAGGAATGTAAAAATATTGTACTTTACCAAACGACACCTGTGCCTATCACTATCCTGAGCAAAATAGTTAAAACAATGGCACTTCCGGTGTCATAATTCGCGAGAAATGTCATTTGATAACGAGATAAGACTTATGCCATCGGATAGCTATTGATTAATAGAACTTAAAAATGTACCTGTGCCACCTCTTTTCCTGAGCCAAATGCTTGGCACGGCCATTTATTCAGCCCAAATTCTCGACAAACTTCCGTCATGTGAGTTAAAACAATATGCAATTGAAGGTGCATAATGTCCCATTCAGGAATATCCACATGTGCCACGTTTTAACCTGAGCTAAGTTGCTGGCACAGCGTAAATTCTGAAACGCGCCTCGCCCAACTAATTTATTTCATATATACAAAAAATCACATAATCCATGACAACGAAAATTATTTGTATTGAAAATTACAATCCTAATAATTAATTTGGAACCTATTAATGAATCCTCGATTTGTATTCCAATTTTATATACTTTTTTACAGACTTAAAAATAAGAAGAAGGTTCTCAAATCGTCGAAATGTAATTTTTTTTTAAGAACGTTCAGCAATAATTCTATACCACGTTGTTTGATTTCCATAATTTTCATAATGGTCACATATAAATTTGGTCAAAATCTGATGATGGGATATACGAGAAAATTATCAAATTCTGCAATTTGCAAAGGCAACTGTACAATTTAGGAGTCTGTTTTTTAAAATAACTTTTATAACTTGTTAATAATTATCTTATCAATATACAGGTTTATTATTTACCAAAATAACTTAATAGGTATTTATTTAGATACATTTGATTACTAGATATATCCGTCTAAACAAGTAAACTGTTGTAAAATAGAATTAAATAGGTACAGCATTAATTTTTTTAAACCTGAAATATTAAATTTTATTTTTTAAACTATAATCATAGTAAATTATTTATTGTTTCGGCCTTTACTTGATGAAAATCCATTTAATCTTGAAAGAGTAAAACCAAATTTGGTAGATTTTCACACTTTTATTTTAAAAATATAAAAAATTTTAAAAACACTAACATGACATATGTTTCGAAGTACAACTTCTTTTTCAAATGTGACTAATTTACAATTCGGTATCCAATATATATACGAAATAATTTAACAAAACAAAGTGCTTAAGAAAAACATCAATAACATTACAAAATAAACTAACTATTTAAAGTAAATAAGGGTACTTAGGTAATTATAATATCAATCAGATAACAATAAGATAGCACATTACCGGGATTATCTCACAGAAAACTAGGAAAGAGATTTAATAAGGGTGAATTATTAATATCTAATTGATCATTTAGTATGTTATCTGAATTTTTAAATCTATTTATTTCAAGTGTTTCTAAATGGTTTAATTTAAGGCTCTTATTTTCTATATGTAAAATTTCAAAGTTGTCTGTAAAAGAATGATTTTCAGCTAAAATATGATTTGAGTAAGTAGAATTATTTTTGTTTTTTGTATAGCTATTATAATGTTCGGAATAGCGTTTTTTGAAAGTACGGCCTGTTTGACCAATATACAATTTTGGACAACTACCACAATTTAATTTATATACCCCCGATTTATTATTAGGATTAATTTTACCCTTATTGTTTTTAATATACTTCCCAAGCGTATTATTGGTTTTAAAAGCTACGTTAATATTTTGGTTTTTTAAATATGATGATACCTTTTCACTAGGAGCTCCTATATATGTAAGACTCTTATATCTGCAATTTTGATCTTTAATTATGGGATAAACTTGTTGAATAGCCTGTTTAAAAAGTTTTTTCTCTAAAATGTTGTCTACTAACTTTGAATTAAAATTATTATTTACTGCGATTTGTTATTTACTTTAAATAGTTAGTTTATTTCGTAATGTTATTGATTGTTTTTCTTAAGTACTTTGTTTTGTTAAATTATTTCGTATATATATTGGATACCGAATTGTAAATTAGTCACATTTGAAAAAGAAGTTGTACTTCGAAACATATGTCATGTTAGTGTTTTTAAAAATTTTTATATTTTTAAAATAAAAGTGTGAAAATCTACCAAATTTGGTTTTACTCTTTCAAGATAATCATAGTAGGTAGTTTTTTTGACGTTTCTATGACAACCTGTAAAAATGAATCACAACATTAAGTAAACAAATAAATCTTGAAATTATCAAAAATTAATTGATTCATTTTGTTAATAGTTCTTATTATTCATGGATAGATGTTTTTTATGCGATGTTAAAGGGAAAAAAGTGTTCCCCTTTAACGATGTACTCGAAAAATGTTTAAATATGTTACATTTTCGTCAAATAAAAAAATTCAAATACAAAGATGTAAAGTTATCCCGTGAAATAGCGAAAAATGTTGGTTATCACCCAGAGTGTAAAGCCAAGTTCATGGTTTTGAAAAAGAAGTACAAGGATGAATTCGATAATATGTTTAAAATGGATGTAAGTATAAAATATGTTTAAGATTATAAATAGCAAAATACGTCTACTAGTGATTAATGGGGTTACAATTGGCGTTCCACATTTTAACTGGAAGAAAAAATGATGTGCATCAATAAATAGTATTGGGTGTTTGTAAATGAATGGTCGTGTGCATGCTTCAATACATAATATAACATTATAAAATCAAAACTAGCCAAAATAAAAATATTGATATAATGTAGCTAAAATACGATTAATAATTTATTAGGTAGAACCGAGCACATCCACAGATGCTGACAAAAAGAATAAATAGGCCGAGTCTATTATCTTACAAGACGGAGAATTGTACAAAACTTGTATGAACTATTTCAGTGGAAGAACAACGCCAAAAGACGAAAAATCTTTAAGAAATATTTTTGTAGATTGTTCGTGTTCTGCTATGACACATGTTTCACAAGTAAGATTGAATATACAAAAAAGTAAAGGTGCCACCGCACAATAATTGTGTAATATAATTACTGAAAAATGTTTATGCTTAAATCTACCAAGTTTTGAATGCTTTAAAAATAATAATAGCTGCACAAAAATTTCACAATAATTGCATGATATCTAAATAAATTAAAGAAAGTAATGAATAGTAAAGTTACCAGACGCGAGACTAAGACAGGCGACAAGCGACAGCGTAAGGAGACAGAAATGTGTATCTTACATGTGAATCACTTGTAACAAAATAAATTTGGAACAGCGCGACCGATGCAAGAGAGGACGGCACATTTAACCTGAGAAGCGTGATTCCAATGGCGCTTGGCAAAATTTAAGAAATGTTGATAAAGCGGCATTCGAAGAACTTTCTGCTTTCATACATGTAGAAATAATTGAGAACGAGAGAATTTTTTTTTATCTAATTTGTTTTCGAGATATCTTTCTTTGTTATTAAAAATGTCGAAGGAGACATTATGTAAAAATTACTTCGAAAATTATAGAGCAGAACATTTGCAAGACAAAATTATACGCGAGTTTGGTGACGTTCCTACGGTGAGATCGTCCCCTATATGCGCAAGAAAAAAATTAGTTTATAAGCATGACATCGATGTTTCTAAGTTAGTGCATTCAACAGTAATTAGAGAAAGTGCGAAAGAAATGAAATTGCGAGAAGTAGCTTACTCCGTTAGAAACTCTGTAAAAGCAATAAACATAAGAAAACTTCCTGAAAAGTTGCACGTTTCTAATATCACTGATGGGGAGTGCGATATTCCTGTTGATCTTTTTAATCTCATTTTCAATTTGATTCACGGCCCTGACTTGCGTAGGCAACAATCTGATGATGATCTCTTTCGAATAAATTCAATTTGCAGTGACATCATTTATGCTATAACAAAGGGAAGAATAAAACCTTCGAAACACCTAAGTCTTGGATTAGCGATAAAATCGACTAGTAGCAGAAAAGTATTGACCATTATAAATAAGTACGGGCATACTGTGAGTTATTCTATGGCTGAAGAGCTTGAGACTGAGCTCGCTTTTACGGCCCAAGAAGAAAATTAATACCCCCTGGTATTCAAGTCACTGATGGACTCTCAACACATTTGGCATTTGATAACTTTGACAGATTTGTTGATACTGTTACGGGTAAAGATACTCTGATGATAACTATGTCACTTGCTGCAACATCTCATAGTGCAGAGCAAACCTCTTCGGACGATAGCAATATTTCTACAGAGAGTAGGTCTCGTAAAAGACGCAAATTTGAACAAACTCCGCGTGTTATGAAACATTATTACAAGCGTAAGGCGACGTTGTCATTGTTATCGTCTGACGTTGTACTGGAGACTGTAGGCAACTGCAACATCTCAAGAGAGCGTGCCATAATAAGAGATATGTTATGGGTTTTTTCTCTCTTGCATTTCGACAAGGTACCAATGTGGGTAGGGTACAATTCGTCAGTAATTGTTGATTGTAGTGAAGTGCAGAACATTGATTACATGCCTCCAATAAATTCGTCTCCTACGTCCTATAATGTCGTTTATGAAACTTTGGCCATGTCCAAAGAAGTGGCCGATCAATGCCATCAAGAACAGATCATCGTGACTTATGATCTAGCAATCGCGAAAATGGCAATGCAAATTCAAAGTCTGGAAAGTCCAAAATTTGATGGTTTATTTATCAATTTAGGAGGCTTTCATATGCAATTAGCGTTTTTCAAAGCTGTTGGTAAATTTATTGATGGTTGCGGAATCGTAGATATTTTAACAGAATCCGAGGTTTTAGCAGCAGGTTCTGTAAACGGATTTATCGAGTCTAAACACTTCAATAGGTGTAAAAGAATTCACCCTATTTTTGCAGGTGCTCTTCAGATGTCGCATTTTGATTTATTTATGTCAGAAAGTGCTTTTTCTCAAGATAGTTTCATTTCTGATCTAAAAGTTGTTTTTGATCTTCCAGTTCCATCTCATGAATCGTTGATATTGTCTCCTGTTTTAGAAGAAGTTATTAGGAAATACAAAGATTTCTGTTCACTAACTCTAACAGGATATCACGGAAAACGGCGCAATTCTATTTACAGTACGTCGAATTGATAAGCATTTTTTTAAGATTTTCGAGGAGCATAAGAACCAGTGACTTTAATCTTTACATCGACTCAGTTTTTGAAATGACTAACATGTTTTTTATATTCAACCAACCCAACTATGCAGGTTGGTCTCTAAGGTACTTAAGTAATCTGGTTTCTTTAAAAGTGGACAATTCGCCTCTCTTGGATAAATTTAAACGTGGTGCTTTCGAAAAATCATATTGAAATCATTGACGGTTTTTATTTCCTAAACGTTTTGGGTCCATCGGTTCCGCAAACTTTTGGATAAATAGCTGAACATGTATTGCGAAAGATTTGTGGTAAAGATGCATCGGAAATACATTTAGTTTTTGACAGATATTTGTCCCCATCGATTAAAGATGCAGAAAGGCACAATCGACAAGAGATCGACATTCCTTTTTCAATTGTTGGACCTTTACAAAAAAGATAACTTGATTTTAATAAAAGCCTCAAAAATTTTAGGTTTAAAGAGGCACTTGTTGAATTTTTTGCACAGTACTGGGAAGATGATTCTATGACGCCGTTTATTCAAAACAAAACAGTTTTCATTACTGTACAAGAACGGTGCTACTCTTACCGTTCTGTTAATGGAAGAAATTTCAAAAAGGAGGAGGGAGATTTCGAATGTCAGCATGAAGAAGCTGACACTCGTATACTTTTTCATATTAATAAAATCAAGCAAAATTCGACAATATTGGTAACTGCCTCTGATACCGACGTTCTAATTATTTTACTAGGTAACATCCATAAATTTCCTGATATGGACATTTACCTAGCAACTTCCTTTGCACAAAAAGAAGATTTTAAGTAGTATAAATGATGTCGCAACTTCTCTAGGTCCAAATATCTGCCGTGCCTTGCCAGCCTTTCACGCATTTACAGGCTGCGACTACACTGCAGCGTTTTATAGACAAGGTAAAGTACGACCCTTTAAATTGTTGCAGAAAAATGACAAATTCTTGTGTGCATTTGCATCTCTAAATAATGTGAAAGATGTGAACGATAAGAAGAAAACAGACCTTATTGAGGAATTCACTTCACTAATGTACGGTGTGAAAAATTGTTGCAGTGTTAACAGCGCAAGGCTCCAACTGTTTTAAAAACTGTTTTCTCCAAAAAATGGAAAAAAACGAGCATTTTATGCAAACAATTAAAGGGTTGGATTTAAGCCTTATTCCTCCATGTTGGAGAACTATGGAACAAAAGATCTTGCGTACAGTGTACGTTAATTCAAGGTGGCCAAACACTGCAGATGCAAATTCTTCTAAATTAAATGTTGAAGAATGCGGTTGGGAGCTAAATGAACGTTTGGAACCAGTGTGGTTTAAGGGAGACCCAACGCCATTGAAAGTCGATGATGTCTTAAAATATAATGAAAATAATGTCGATAACGACGAGTTGAATGAGTTAAATTATTTGAATGATGTTTTTTCAGATTCAGATAATGAGTAAATGTTGAAATTGTTGGGATTTTTTTTAATAATAATGTATTTTAGCATTGATAAATTGTTTGTGTATACATATTTATTTAATTTAATTTTTTCATGTATGTATTTAAAATTAAATAAGTTAACAATCCTTAGTAAGTATATCTTTAATACATTTTCTGGAAAACTTCCAAATATAACTATATCATCGTCGTATTGGAATTTTATTTACAATTTGTAGGTACACTTTTTTATAAATATAAAAAGTAATAAAATATATCTAAATAAATACCTGAAAAGATATTCTGTTAAATAATAAACCTGTGTATTAACAAAAGTAATTTTAAAAACCTTTCTTTGTTATTCGAAGAATTTAATTATTTTCTCGTGTATCCTATCATCAGATGTTGACCAAATTTATATATGACTAACCCGGTGTTCCCTTTTCTAACAAAAAAGAAGTATAGAAATCGGACAACGTGGTATATATTTATCAGTGAATATACAAAAAAATTAAATATTCTAACGATATGAGTATCTCCTCCTATTATTTTAAGTCTGTTAAAAAGCCTATAAAATTATGATACAAACCAAGGCTTCAGTAATAAGTTTACAATTAATTATTAGGATTGTAATTTTCAATATAAATAATTTTCGTTGTCATGGCTTATGTGATTTTTTGTATACATGAAATAAATTAGTTGGGCGAGGAGCGTCTCAGAAATTACGCTGTGCCAGCAACTTAGCTCAGGTTAAAACGTGGCACATGCGGATATTCCTGAATGGGACATTATGCCCCTTCGATTGCATATTGTTTTAACTCGTTATCACATGACGGAAGTTTGTCGAGAATTTTGGCTGAATAAAAAGGCCGTGCCAAGCATTTGACTCAGGAAAAGAGGTGGCACAGGTACATTTTTAAGTTCTATTAATTAATAGCTATCCGATGGCATAAGTCTTATCTCGTTATCAAATGACGACATTTCTCGCGAATTATGACACCGGAAGTGCCATTGTTTTAACTATTTTGCTCAGGATAGTGATAGGCACAGGTGCCGTTTGCTAAATTACAATATTTTTACATGCCTCTGAAGCATATTTTATTTCGTTATCAGATGACGGTGGAAATTTGCAGTGGGCTCTTGGGCTATATTCAGACCATCCATAATATGGAACAACTTGAAATTAAGCTAGTTACTCCCAATGAAGTTATGAAAGAAATTCAGACAAACATCAACTCACAGAAAGCCCCAGGATATGACCTTATTACTGGAGAAGTATTAAAGAAACTACCACGGAAGGCTATTGTTAAATTGACATACCTCATTAATGCAGCATTTCGCCTTAAATATATACCTGATGTATGGAAAATGGCTGAAGTTATCCTAATTCCTAAGCCAGGAAAACCTTTGAATGAAGTGTCATCATATAGACCTATATCATTGTTACCGATAATATCTAAGTTATTTGAAAAACTACTGCTAAAACGACTAAAACCAATAATTGAAAATAAAAATCTGATCCCTTCGCACCAATTTGGTTTTAGAAACAAACACTCGACAATAGATCAAGTACACAGGATAGCCGATATCATCGAAAAAGCTTACGAAGAAAAATATATATGCTCAGCTATATTTCTTGATGTAGCCCAAGCATTTGACAAGGTTTGGCACGCTGGCCCAATACAGAAACTTAAAAAAATGCTCCCTAGACAATATGTCGACATTCTACAATCAAATCTAACGGGAAGAATGTTTAGAATAAAGCAAGACGAGGCATACTCCGAAATGAAAGAAATTAAAGCAGGTGTCCCACAAGGTAGTGTGCTAGGACCGTTTCTTTACTTATTATACACCAGCCATATCCCTCAACAACAATCTGTTAAAATAGCAACATTTGCGGATGACACTGCAATATTGGCAGTTGGCGGAACTAATACAGACACCTCAGAAAAACTTCAGGAAACCTGTAACAGAATCAATCGATGGACAGAAAAGTGGAAAATAAAAAAAAATCAAACTAAATCAGTGCATGTTGATTTTACTCTTCGACCAAATGAACAAAAACAAATAAGAATAAACAATGGCGTTATTCCGCATCACGATTCGGCCAAATACTTAGGGATGAACCTAGATGTAAGGCTTAAATGGAAAGAGCACATAAAAAAAGCGTAAAGAACTTTTAATTTAAATTCAAAAAAATTTATTAGCTCCTAGAAAGAAAATCCAAATTGTCAGTGCACAACAAACTGCTGATTTATAAACAAATCCTAAAACCAATCTGGATTTATGGCATACAGCTATGGGGATGTGCCAGCAAGAGTAATATCAACATGATACAAGTTTTCCAAAATAAAGTCCTAAGATGCATTGTTGATGCACCTTGGTTACACCGAAACGATTATCTTCATAGAGACCTGAAGATGCCAACAATCGAAGAAGAAATAAGGAGGTTTGCTGCGAAACATGAGGGTCGACTCCACTCCCACGTCAACGAAGAAGCGCTGCAATTACTGGACAACTCTACACTCAACGGAAGGCTCAAAAGAAAGAAGCCATTTGAGCTAGTGCAGTGAACGTTATTGTTAGTGCTAGTGTAAAACAGTGTAATAAATCGTCACGCCAACTTGTGATGCTCTCCTATAGAAACAATGGGGACTTCTTAGATAAGTAATTAGTTAAAATAATTTTAGATTAAAATTGTAGGTTAGTCAGTAATGACTAGTAATAATACTCAAAAAAAAGTGAAATTTTGAAACAACTTCCAAAGAAAACAATTGTAAAAATCTAACTAATGCATCATTTAGACCGATGATACCCAAAGTAGTCTATATCGACGATGACTTGCGAGGGATCCATGTGAGCGAAAAAAAGAATTGGAGGCCTATGAGATGTAAACGATAGTCGATCTCATTTTAGCAAGTCGCGACTTTAATTTTGACTTTCCATTAATGTAGCGTTTCTCAACCTGTGGGCGCGCTCCTCTAGAGGGGCGTCATAACTCTAAGTGGGGGGCACCAGCACATAAAAATTAATTCACAGGAAGAAAAGGAAAATGATATTCATTCTGACATTGTAAAAAATTAAGTAAGTACAGTAAACGTTTAAACTTATATACTATTTAATTATTATAAATATTATTGTATTAGTAGGTACTGTCAAATGCTAAATGAAACTCATCAGTACTAAATTAAAAGTAGCTTTAATAATTATTGGTGACTCCCTTGGGCCTGTCTCCCACAGCAAAGTTTTTCAAAAGAAGGTTCTATATTACTAATAGACACTCAGTTCTTTGTCTATATTCAGTCGAGACTTATATTTTGTCTTTAAAGTAGCCACCGCAGAAAATTCGGTTTCGCAAAGGTAGGATGTTGAAAATGGCAATAATATACGAAATGCTCTTGTTTTCAGTGGAGAAAAGGCATCATCCACTCCCGCCCAAAATTCAAAGAGATATTTATTACTAAATTATCTCTTGATTTCACCGCTTGCAGTAAAGTCTATAAAGATTTCTTCTTCTGCAGTTGAGAAACCTTCGGGAGTAGTTCGAAATAGACCTCTAACCCACTCGTAACTTGCTACCAATTTGTCGTCAGCAAGAAAATATTTTTTAAAATTCTTTGCCAACATGGCTAAATGACTTTCTATTGTTACACAAACAACTTTCACATACTGTTCTTCCTTGTATGTTTTGAGACACTTATTCACATTTGAAAACATTTCTAGTTTTTTTTTGTTTCAAATTTCAGGGTATTTAATTTCTCGAATATGTCGGCCAATTAACTCAATTTCATCACAAATAAAGCATCTCGAAACTACGGCTTCCGGGCGATTTTTCTCTTCTAGAAAAGTGTCAATTTCCCTTTTTAACTCATAAACATAAAATAATTCCTTTATGCAACAACACAGTTCAAAGGCGTGTTGATGAAATAAGTTATGAAATTAAAATCTTCTATTGTAATTTTTTTGCAAAGAGCCTATTTCTCTATACTGCTGGACGAGTCAACCTTGCGTGTTAATGAAGCAATATTATTAGCATATGTTCGTTTTAATGGGGATCAAGAAATACATGAAGAGTTGCTTTTCACTAGAACGTTGACCACTGACACTAAAGGCGAATCAATATTAAGGAGGTCCTTTCGCCACCCCTTTCGCCACCAATGTTAAATAAAAAATATTAGAATATGACTAAAATTTATTTTTTTTCTAATAGTGAACTTTTAATTATACCTTACCATGCAAATTTTTGAGATTTTTTTTTTTAAATGTGAGTATTTGTACAGTGTCTTACGAGAAAGTAAGACCTCAACAACAATTCTCGAATCATACTATTATTTATTGATTAGATGGAGTAGAAAAAAACTAAAAATAAGGTTTCTGAAATATTTAGGTTTTATTTTTTACAATAAAATATATAGATTACCGTGAAATTTATTAAGAAATTAATATTAAAAAAAAATTTCAAGTAACCTAGTTTAGTGATTTTTTAATATTAATTTCTCAATAAATTCCATGGTAACCTATATATTTTATTGTAAAAAACAAAACCTAAATATTTCAAAAACCTTATTTTTAGTGTTTTTCTACTCCATCTAATCAATAAATAATAGTATACTTAATTATAATTCGAAAATTGTTGTTGAAGTCTTACTTTCTCGTAAGACACTGTACAAATACTCACATTTAAAAAAAAAAAAATTCTCAAAAATTTGCACGGTAAGGTATAGTTAAAAGTTCACTATTAGATAAAAAAGGACTTCAACTATTAGAAAAAAATTAATTTTAGTCATAATCTAATATTTTTTATTTAACATTGGTGACGAAAGGACCTCCTTAAATATTTTAAGGATTACTTTATGGAAAAAGATATACCTTTACCAAATATAACATTAGTAGCTACGGATAGGACACCTGCCATGGTTGGGTGCTACCGTAGATTTGTAAGCCATTTTAAACAAAATGTACTCAGGGTGTTAGCAATACACTGCGTTATCCATCGACAATATTTAGTTGCCAAAAAATTGAGTAGTAGATTGCACGAATCTCTTCAATTTGTCATTAACGTAGTAAACCGAATTTGAAGCAATGTATTGAATACGCGATTATTTGCTCAGTTGTGTGAAGAAAATGACGACAACTTTTATCAATTGCTTCTTCACACTGAATTCCAATGTCTTTCGAAAAGCTTATGCTTGACAAGATTGTTTGATCTTTTTGACAATGTTTAAAGCCGCGTACAGACCAGGTTCCAACGTCGAGCATCCCAACCCAAGCATCTTGCCCGTTGGGATTTGGTGTTGGAAGCGATTGAAATGCGCACGGCAACACCAAAAATTTTATTTGGGTGTTAGGGTTCGACCGAGTTTGGTGCGAAAAGTGAGACCAGTAGGTAGAATATGTCGAGCGATGAGGAAGATTTATTATTAGCTTATAACGTTTATCAGTTGGGTCCCATAATGTGGGATTTTGCATATAGCCAATTAATTTTAAACATAAATCTTCAGTACACTCCATATTTTTTTTATCAAAACTCAAATATATACTCACCAGTACGAGGCTGAACTAAAACTGTCATCAAAATACCAAAAGCAACTCGAGAAAAACAACACAAGCAAAATATCTACCAAGCGAGCGACAAATCCCGTCCAGACGAAATCAAACATTTCTTTGATGTACCGCTCAAGGAATGCACGCAACCGAACGCCAACGCCAAGCTTGGAATCGGTTTGGGCTCTGTTCGTCGCGCCGTACACACTGACACCAACACTGAGCACATGTGGCTTGGTTTGCGTTGGAACCTCGATGTCTGTACGCGACTTTAGAGTTTTTGGATGCTAAATATCCAATTTTACAACAAAATTTAATTAGGTGCAAAGCAGACATTGCTTATTTAACAGATTCGGTAAATTTAATAAGTTTAACTTGCAGTTACAAGGTGACAGCCTAAAATTTATCGAAACAAAGTCCATACGTTCAGCATTTCTTGCCAGAATTAAACTAATAAAACAAAACTTTGGATGGGGCGAATTTTCCCAGTTTCCTAATTTGTCACAAATAAACTGTCATGCCAGGAAGATGAACTTAAGTTCAACATTTAAATGACCTTTATGCAGATTTTGAAATAAGGTTTGAGGATGTTTTGAATATGGTAATATCACAATAGATAGATTTTGAAATAAGGTTTGAGGATGTTTTGAATATGGTAATATCACAATAGATAATCAGTCCATATGGCGACGATAAAAAACGGATATCACTGATCGGAATAAGCACTAACGAAGAACTTAAGGTACAGTTTAGAAACGGATAAGAGCTATTTTGTTACCTGTTACTTATTCCGCATTATGGAATATCGCGAGAAAATTGCTTTTCCGTTTTCATATCAAGTGGAAAAAGGGAAAAAGGTTTCAGTGCGGTTGCCAATCTTCTAATAAAAAGAAAAGAAGCAAAATGCGTCATTAATCGAGGTGATTTAAGAATAAACCTCACTAAATTGATGCCAAATATTGAAAATTTATTATCAAAGTACCAGATTAATTCCACTAAAAATCTGTATTTTTACTTATTGATTTTCTTCTGCACCTTACTACAGCTAGAAATCATTCAAGGCATATTTGAAGTTGATAAATTTTCAAAAATGCATTATTATCTTCCCAAAACCGAAGAACATGGCAAATTGTCTGCGAGACAACAAAGATACATTTGATTTAGATTGAAAAAAAGCAGAAATCATGATGACACAGAACTTCCTTTAATATCGAAATTATCTGAAAAATTATTCCTTAAAAGATTGATACTAATAATAGAGGTAAATAAGGACTCGGCTTCAAAAAAAGACAGAAACCGCAGGTGATCCTGCAGATGGTATAAGAAACAAAAAATTAGAGGAAAACTAAAGAACATTTTAATATTATTAAGTTCTATTTAAAAATTTTGAAAGGATAGTTAGTGAATTTCTTCTTTACAAATTCAGGTAAAAACTATATAAAACAAATAAGTAGGTACCAACCTTCTAATTCTAGAAACCGGAACCAATACATACTCCTCTTCCTCTTCTTGTACATTATTTTCTAGTGGGAAAGCAGATGCCACCGCTAAACTAGCTATAATCAGAATGAGGAATTTCATTTTTGTGCCTAACTATCTTTGTTAATATCTTAACTACAACTGATGAGATGTGCTAGATTTATGTCCTATTTATATTTGGTACTAATATTAAAAAAAAAATTGTAATTCACAGGAATAGGTGGGATAGTTAAAATTGTTATTTTTGCGCTAAGATAAGGTCGTTAAATAAAGTCATTTGATGACAAAGGGAATTTTATTATTTATCTTCTACTATATCAAATTAGTTTATAGGTTTTAAGAATGTTTTATGGTTATTACTCCGAGATACTTTTTGTTAAATTCTTATAATTTTAAATAGATTTCATATTTTAGCCATTTCACTACAGAATGAAATTTATTTAACACCACAGAGTGATCAAATGAGTCAAAGGAAATGCTCTCAGCCCTATTAGCTAAATAAACAATTCTGATAACCGTACTGCATTTTTATTTTATTCCAAGAATTTTTTAATTTTCTTGGCAACAAAGCTGTTGAAATTACCCCACCCACCACATCCTCCTGATTTGACACATGGGCAACTATTAAGTATTTTATTTTTAAATATAGTAAATCAGTTTGTGATCAGAATACGTAGTAATAAAATGGTAGTAAAAAGTATTGCACACTTTTATTTGTTTATAACTGCCTATAACTAAATGAAATTGTGAATTACAATTCACGTGGATTTTTAGATGCATACAGAAGATAAGGATTTTTTCAAACAATTACTATTTGTAAATTATGCTAGTGTTTTTTAAGATTATTCAATTTATAGTTTAAAAATAAAAACAATGCGTGGTCTCAAAAATTGATTTTCCTTAATAATTACGCTGTGTTCTTTGTGAACCAGTTGAACTAGATGAATTTGGAAGGTACCAGCCTTCAAAATGATATACAGTATTATACAGTGTGTCTACCTAAGTTGTCGGTTCCATTTACCCTAAATAATACAGTCAGAGAATTAGGTCTTACCCCCTCCCTTATCAACTAGTTTATTTAAAAAAATAGGGAAAAAGGCTTGATATTTCTATGAATCCCTTTTAGGTGGCAGACACCTCTTTATTTTTAAAATAGCGAGAGGGGTTGTATACTTCATTGAAAAGGTAATTTTATTGGGAATATTACTTTGATCCTTTATATCGTCATTGTCAACGAAAATATTGAAAAATTCAATTTTTTCACATTTCCACAAAGTTTTCCATTGAAGTTCGTTTTGAAGAAATTGTCTATAACATTATAAAGAGTGCCATCATTAACAACTCTTATTAAAAGAATTTTGTTTTATATTTATAAATAACAGAAATATACTTTCAAGCTTGAAAATGTCTAAAGTATCCCTTTAAATATTCTGACTATGCCCAATATCTAATCAGCTCATCGCTGGATTAGAGATTCCGTTTTTGAGTGGATATACAGACATCAAAACGTATTCAGAGGACCCCAAAACGTCAAAATCCATCGAAATTTTAGATAGAAAATTTCATGTTTCCTATAAAATGATTCCCAGCTAGCACATAACGTTGCCAAGCCTTTCGGCGATGTTGTTTTAAGGGAACGTAATAACATTACTATACAACGTAAATACAACGTTCATGAGAAGTTGAGAGAAACCAAAACCTCGCAAAACTTAAACGTAATAAAAGTAATTTGCTAAAAAAGTATCCACGAGAAGTACTGTGAACATCATATTGTTTTCGAACGTAGCCATTCGTTTGTCATAAGTCATAACAGAACCAACAAAACAAAAAAATGTCACTTGTCACTTTTTCTTATGGTATGTATTTAAGATTTTAAAGAATTTGTAAACTATTTATACGTTTGAATAAGTTTGGTAAGTTCTTTTCTTCTTTTCACTAAAATAGAAACATATTTTCTAATTTATTGTCTGTTGTTTTAGATTGCAATATTTCAGTTTCCAAGTACAATAAAAAATAAATCATTGTAACCGAGATACAATTAAATGCCTACATTTTACACGATAATAGGGATCTTATCGATGCCTCGATACTATAGAAATAACGATATTAAACAATGAAAGTATCGATATTTAGGCATTTAGGCATACCAATACTATCGCCGTATCGATACTTAGAAGCAAGTATCGTATCGCTATGTGTGTGAGTGTGGTCAGGGTATGATAAGACTAGAGAGAAGGA